TATTATGTCGTCGTTGTCGTCTTCCTCCGCTTATCCAGATCCGGGTCGCGGGGGCAGCATCCCAACTAGGGAGCTCCAGACCGTCCTCTCCCCGGCCTTCTCCACCAGCTCCTCCGGCAGGACCCCAAGGCGTTCCCGAACCAGATTGGAGATGTAACCTCTCCAACGTGTCCTGGGTCGACTCGGGGTCCTCCTGCCGGCAGGACATGCCCGAAACACCTCCCCGGGGAGGCGTCCAGGAGGCATCCTGACCAGATGCCCAAACCACCTCAACTGACTCCTTTCGATCTGGAGGAGCAGCTGTTCTACTCCGAGTCCCTCCTGAATGTCCGAGCTCCTCACCCTATCTCTAAGGCTGAGCCCGGCCACCCTACGGAGGAAACTCATTTTGGCCATTACCCAAAGCTCATGACCATAGGTGAGGATTGGGATGTAGATTGACCGGTAAATCGAGAGCCTGGCTTTCTGGCTCAGCTCCCTCTTCCCCACGACAGATCGGCTCAGCGTCCGCATCACTGCAGATGCCGAACCGATCCACCTGTCGATCTTCCAATCCCTCCTACCCTCACTCGTGAACAAGACCCCGAGATAATTAAACTCCTCCACTTGAGGTAGGGCCTCTCCCCCGACCCGGAGTTGGCAAGCCACCTTTTTCCAGTCGAGAACCATGGCCTCAGATGTAGAGGTGCTGATCCTCATCCCAGTCGCTTCACACTCGGCCGCAAACCTACCCAGCAAGAGCTGAAGGTCAGAGCTGGATGAAGCTAGGAGGACCACATCATCCGCAAAAAGCAGAGACGAGATTCTCCTGCCACCAAACTCGACACACTCCACACCACGGCTGCACCTAGAAATTCTGTCCATAAAGGTAATGAACAGAACCGGCGACAAAGGGCAGCCCTGGCGGAGTCCAACCCTCACCAGGAGCAGGTCCGACTTACTACCGGCTATGCGGACCAAACTCACGCTCCTCTGGTAAAGGGACTGAATGGCTCTCAACAGAAAGCCACCCACCCCATACTCCTGGAGCATCCCCCACAGGGTGCCCCCGGGGACACGGTCATAAGCCTTCTCCAAATCCACAAAACACATGTGGATTGGTTGGGCAAACTCCCATGCCCCCTCCATCACCCTTGCAAGGGTATAGAGCTGGTCCACAGTTCCACGGCCAGGACGAAAACCACATTGCTCCTCCTCAATCTGATATTCAACTATCGATCGGACCCTCCTCTCCATTACCTTGGAGTAGACCTTTCCAGGAAGGCTGAGGAGTGTGATCCCCCTATAGTTGGAACACACCCTCGGGCCACCCTTCTTAAAGATGGGGACCACCACCCCGGTCTGCCACTCCACAGGAACTGCCCCTGATGACCACACAATGTTGCAGAGATGTGTTAACCATGACAGCCCTACAACATCCATAGCCTTGAGATACCCAGGACGAACCTCATCCGCCCCCAGGGCTCCGCCGCTGTGTAGTTGTTTGACTAAATCAGCAACTTCTGCCTCCGAGATTGGACAGTCCATCCCCAAATCTCCCGGCTCTAGTTCCTCCTCAGAATGTGCGTAGGTGGGATTGAGGAGCTCCTCAAAGTATTCCTTCCACCGTCCAACTATAGCCCCAGTTGACGTCAGCAGCTCCCCATCCCCACTGTAAACAGTGTGAACAAGTTGCTGCCTTCCTCTCCTGAGGCGCCGGGCAGTTTGCCAGAACCTCTTTGGAGCCGATCGATAGTCTTTCTCCATGGCCTCACCAAACTCCTCCCACGCCCAAGATTTTGCCACGGCAACTGCCACTGCTGCACCCCGCTTGGCTATCCGGTACCTGTCTGCTGCCTCCGGAGACCCAAAGACCAGCCATGCCCTGTAGGCCTCCTTCTTCAGCCTGACGGTTCCCCGAACCTCTGGTGTCCACCAGCGGGTACGGGGGTTGCCACCACGACTGGCACCGGCCACCTTGCGACCACAGCTAGCAACAGCCGCCTCAACAATCGCAGAGTGGAACAAGGCCCACTCGGACTCAATGTCCCCCACTGCTCTCGGGACGTGGTCAAAGCTCTGCTGGAGGTGGGAGTTGAAGACCGTCTTAACAGGTTCTTCTGCCAGGCGTTCCCAGCAGACCCTCACTATGTGTTTGGGTCTGCCAGGTCTACGCGGCATCTTCCCCTGCCATCTGATCCAACTCACCACCAGGTGGTGATCAGTTGACAGCTCCGCTCCTCTCTTCACTTGGGTGTCCAAAACATACGGCCGCAGGTCAGATGATATGACTACAAAGTTTATCATCGACCTGCGACCTAGGCTGCCCTGGTACCAAGTGTACCGGTGGGCATCCTTATGTTCGAACATGGTGTTCGTTATGGCCAAACTGCGGCTTGCACAGAAGTCCAATAACGAAAAACCACTTGAGTTCAGATCAGGCGGGCCGTTCCTCCCAATCACACCCCTCCAGGTCATGCTGTTATTGCCCACGTGAGCATTGAAGTCCCCAGAAGGACAATGGAGTCCCCTGATGGAGCACTATTTAGCACTCGTCCCAGGGACTCCAAAAAGTGTAGGTACTCTGAACTGCTGTTTGGCCCATAAGCACAAACAACAGTCAGGACCCGTTCCCCAACCCGAAGGCGCAGGGAAGCTACCCTCTCGTCCCCCGGGGTAAACCCCAACACACAGGTAGAGAGTTTTGGGGCTAACAGAAAGCCAACCCCAGCCCTCCGCCTCTCACCCGGAGAAACTCCAGCAAAGGAGAGTGTCCAACCCCTCTCAAGGACTTGGGTTCCAGAGCAAATATTACGTATATGTAAATTAGCTTCAGGTTTTTGTAAATGTTTGGGACTAGGATTGGGATTAAATAGGATACCAGAAGAACAAATAGTTTTTACTGTCTCAAGACCCGTTTTACAAGAGAGAGGAGCGTTTCCTGTACAGAATGAGTGACGACCTGTCGTGGCAGCCACTCTGTAGGGCGTTAAGGATATTGTGATTTGCTGTCACCTGTCCCACCGGGGTCAAGTCTGCATTTTATTCTCTAAGCCATACCTTACAGAGTGACAAAATGTGATTTCCTAGTCAGCACGGGATTCTGACCAGTGCATGTGTCAGAGACAGTTGTGAGCAAGGTAAAATACCCCTTGGGCACACACATGCACATGCACATGCACGTCCACACCCACACCCACACCCACACACACAGTCATACATGCCCTATAGATTTTACCATTATTGATGGACAGGGAGAACTCTCCTCTCCCATCTGCCTGGATTTGATTTCCCTTCTGATTGACGGTATGTTTCCATCCTGGGACAACTCACACTGATACGCACACGCACACACACACACACACACACGCACACGCACACGCACACACACACACACACACACACACACACACACACACACACACACACACACACACACACTGGGGAGAAAGAGGAACCTTCTGTAACGTACTGAACTCCAACCACATGGATAGGTTACATTTCTTGCTCAGTATCGATCACTGCTCTGAAGGAGCTATTTTCTTCTGCTGTTGCTTCACACCAGTTGTGTTAGCCCAATTACCAACATTAATTTAATCTGCTTAAATTCAGAAAGTTTTTTTTTTTAGACTGGAGATCTGGACAAGCATTAGCTGCTTCTCACTTTTAGTGTTTTTGTTGTTTTACATTAGCTGTTTCTCTGAGACATGTTATGAGCTTGGTTTGTTGTGTTCTGCATACCTTAATGCATCCATTTTCCTTTATATGCATTTACAAGAGGGCAGTGATGCGTAAAATCACACAGATAACACAAACACCTTCTATAAAGAAAGGATACCCAAGAGCATTTTGTATAGAGTGAATAAAGAGCAATAATGGGATTTATTCCCCAAGTGATACGAAGCGGTTCCACCTTCAGCGAGAGACCTCAGAGTAGATGAAGCAGCTGCTATTTCGGAAGAGAACCCAGGCATGAAATGTGATATGATGAGTTGGGAGAAGTAGACATTCAGGGTGCATGGAAGAAAGTTAACAGTGGTGAAGGTGTGAATCGCTATAAATAAGAAGCATTTTCATTTAAGAGAGACAAGTCAGAAATCCCCACTGGAGCTATGGAGTCATGTTGCATGCATTCAACAAAGAACAAACTTGTTTTAGAGCTGGAGAGCCAGATTATACATTGTGAACATTTTGTTTTAGAGAATAAAAGAAGAAGGAGCACAAGTGCTAAATAAACCAGTCCCAGCAGAGAGAGAGAGACCGGCTGTGGTTAGTCGTAGCATCTGTCTTCTCTGAACACAGCAGAGCGTGTTAAATCCTCATGGGCTTTACAGATCTGCCATGTTTCCTTAACATTTTCATCGTACTTTCTCTCCCAGAGCCACAAGGTAAAAATGGGTCATGGGATCCCCGAGAGAGCGAGGCTGCACGTCTCGCTGGGTTTGTTACTGAAGCTGAACTGTCTGAGAAATGACCGTTTTATAGAGAGACTGCACAGAAACTTTGACCTCAGACATTAATTTATGTCTGCGTTCATGGTTTTAGGATGTGAATTGGCCCACTCCTCTGTTGTTTCTGTCATCTTCTGCAGGATATTTCTTTTTTGTGATCAGGCACCAGAATTCAGACCAGCACTCATATTACAAATAGAAAAACAGTCATTTTGTTGGACATCATCCATCCATCCATCCATCCATCCATCCATCATCTGCTTATCCTGGGTGGGGTCATGGGGGCAGCAGCCTAAGCAGTTAGGCCCAGACTTTCCTCTCCCCAGACACTTGCACCAACTACTCAGGGGAAATCCTTAGGCGTTCCCTGGCCAGCCAAGAGACATAGTTCCTCCAGCGTGTCCTGGGTCTTTCTTTAGGTCTCCTCCTGGTTGGATGTGCCCAGACAACCTCACCAGGGATGCATCTAGAAGATAAACACCTCACACCGTCAAGAGTTGACAAAAGAGTTTCTAATTCTGTTTGCAATTATTGATTTGTGCTCGTGTTTCTCTTCTCACCGTCTTCCAGTACAAACAAGTGGAGCAGTACATGTCCTTCCACAAACTCCCAGCTGACTTCCGACAGAAAATCCATGACTACTACGAGCACAGGTACCAGGGCAAGATGTTTGATGAAGAGAGCATCCTGGAGGAGCTTAATGAGCCTCTGCGCGAGGTTTGAAAACACACCGATGCATTCATTGCACTTTGCTCACCCGCTATTATCAAACACTTTCTCATTTATTACACAATAAAAAGATTAGAGTGGATTCATTATAAGGTCTCATTTTCTGAGAAACACAACAAAAACACTCAGAATGTAATTTCATTTGATTGCATCAATTTAATTTACTGCTTAGTTAGTTACTTCAGGTCAGTTGTCATTAAATAAATTGGAATTTCTTTTTTGACTATTTTAAATATTTAGAATAAAAAAAGGATGGCTATGAAACAGTTTGTATGTTAAGATATTTTTTGTTTTCAAAAACAAGTCAAAGTCCTTCAGGAGATCAGAACGTTAGGAGAATTTACCACCTCTCAGATTGGATTAAAACCAGGGTTGTAAATCAATACAACCATTTTCCACAGCCACACACGTGTCATTTTTCAATAATTAACTGTTAATCCCCAACACAAACCACACAATCCTGTTTCCCTTCAGGAAATTGTCAACTTCAATTGCCGTAAGCTGGTGGCCTCCATGCCTCTGTTTGCCAACGCTGATCCCAACTTTGTGACTGCCATGCTGACCAAACTCAGGTTTGAAGTTTTCCAGCCCGGAGACTACATCATCAGAGAGGGAACCATCGGCAAGAAGATGTATTTTATTCAGCACGGGGTGGTGAGCGTCCTGACCAAAGGGAGCCTGGGCATGAAGCTGATGGATGGCTCTTACTTTGGAGGTGTGTCCCTTTGCAGGAGCAACTCTATTTCTGTGATTTTAGCATCATCATTTATACATTAAATGAAGAAAGAAAATACAGTGCTGACAAATTATTCGTAGTTGTTGTGCAGCGTGGCTTCACAGCCCCTTTTTGTCCCGTTTTCCCAGGCTGTTGTTGCTGTGGCTGTTTGGAAGCAAGTGGTGCCTCAGCCACCGCTGCTGCCCATAAACTGATGCAGACATGCTAAAACCCACTCACCCACAAGCTTTCTTAACTCCTGTGGTTTAACTCAACTGAACAGCCTGCATTTTTAACATCGGGTGTCCTCTGCAGCAATCTAGAGTTCACTGGATTTAATAAAGAATGTGCCGCTTGCTCTCTGCACCGTTACACTGACTCACAGCACGCTCTTGTGCACAAACATCCAATTAAGACCAGCTAACTAGCATATCAGTACAGTATTTATGAAGCTGTTTCTCAGATAGAGAGTTTGAAGCAATGCCTGTCACCAAAAAGGAAATCACTCGTCTCTGTGGACAAAGTTAATCCATCTGCTCTGACTGGAGGGACAGCCTGGTTTAATATAATCATTGCCCTTTATATGCGTGTGAAAATCTCTGAGTTAGTCAGTCAAAGTAAGGAGATACCAAAGTTGGACTTAAACTTCCCACTTTGACTTTGAGTTTTTCTGTTAGAAAGTTTAATGTTTTTTTTTTTAGAATTCTGGGATCAAAGTTTAAAGTGAGGATTTCCATTAAAGACCTGAACTCTGGATGTTAAAGGTGTAGAATGCTGAAAAAAAATTAATGATTATTTCTAATGATAATCACTAGTTTTTCATGCAGGCAGAACATGAAAATAGTCTCTTATGCGTATCTGTGCCGTTATGGGTGCATGTCTGATGCAGGGGCGTTAACACCTTTCTTATATCACCACTCTGAAGACCGATGAGCGTTGTCAACAGGTTTACTGACACTAAAAAGGGTAAAACTAAAAACAAGACAAAAAATACAGTTATGATATACATATGTGCAGCATAATATGCATTTATATACCACACTGCTATTACACAGCATATGTCACAGGTCTAATTATGAGAACTTGTGCTATTGCTGCTATCCAGACGACCTCCGAAATCACGGGTAACTAGCTTAACAAAGGGACTAGCTTACAGCAAAATACAGCATTAGCGGGCAACATATTGCACAAAAACAAAGTTGCAACTTATACTTTAAGTACATACCGGCGATACAACCATAAACAGAAGTTGTAGACAGTTTTTTTTCCCAAGAGGACACCATAAACTGTGTACTGATATGTTTCCTTTCTTCTTGCTCGCTTGCTTTGCTAGACTGAGCGGACTTCCTGTTCAATAAAGTTATTTCAAAAATAAAGCCGTTTCTAAAGTGCACCACTCGAAGAAACCACAGAGGGTGCTGTAAACACATAATGAATAACAACTGACTGAGAATGACATTTTAGTGATACAACATTTTACAACTTTTAGTGAAAACAGAACAGTATCTGCTTTGAAAAGCCTGGCAGATCAACATCACACTGTCTCTTAACATTCATGGACTCATGTTGGTTTAGAAAAGGTTGTCGTTGGATTAACATTCAAAAAACAGCAGAGGACATCTCAGCTAGTAGAAGCTAACTGTTAGCATTAGCAACTCCATCACACAGCAAAACTCCTCTAGACTTGTGACATTTGTAGAGATAAAGCATCAATGCTGCAAAACAGAGTCAGTGGTAGAGTTGTGTAGCTGTTAGCCAATCAGAAGTGAGATGTCAAAATATCAGGAAGTCAGACTCTAAATCCTGCTGTCTGAAGCTCTCCTCTGATCCGGAAATCTCCTGACACAGGCACAGCAGGGCTTTTGTGTCAGAATACAACTTACAAGGCATTCATTCCTACTAGAGACCACTGCAAATGTATGACTTAAATGAATGAACCACACCTTTAATATTACACTGAATCAGCAGAGGTTTAAACATGTTTCATCTTGTCGCAAAATAATGTGTTGTTGGAGTTATTCCCATAATGAACATCGATGCAGACAATACCTATTAGCATTCTACAAGAGTGTGACAAGCTTGAACTGACGTCTGTGCTCTGCAAATACCATAGTGAGAGTCTCAATGGGAAAAGCAATAAATTGCATGTGTCACATTAGTCACCAGCAGTTTCAGCCTTGGCGCTGGTGCCATCCCATCAGAAACCCGTGAGATGCACTGATGGTCTCAAACCCCCAATCGGTATCGACCCAGAAGAGCTGTGGCTGAAATGCAAAGATGAAGAGAAATGTAATGTTGTGGCTGACTGAAGCAGACTTTTCATTAAAAATGACCCATGTGGTTACTCACTGGAGACGTTAAGATACTAAAGCAGTGAGTTTTGATTAAGATTCACACTAAAATTACTCCAGAGCCTCATCCATAAGACTTCACAGATGCCTGACCCCCTTTCTTACTCAGTTCTTGTCTTCAAGAACAATGGGAGACAGGACTGATGATGCCACTGAGGGTTAGGGTTGAATTAACCCCTCACTAATACGGGAACTTTGGTAACAACACCCCCCCCCCCCCCAAAAAAAAGAAACTAACTATGGGTTCGAGTAATGCTAGTGAATATCAATGCTACTGCTAAAATCGACTTTTCAAACCCAGCATTTCTTTGTATTCTTATTCATATTTAATTGTGACGCCAGGAGCCAAAAGGGGTCACCTGTTGTTTGGACTCAGCCCTAGTGGTTTCATTAGTGTTATTTTCCTCTCCATGCACTTCTCACTGGCTGCTAATGATGCTGGCAATGTGCAGATGTCTGTGTTATGTTAAACCAGGAAGATCCCAGTTGGTATTTATGAAATGACGTTTGAGTCAGTTTGTGAAGAGCCCTTTTTTACAACTCATCAGGTTAATCATCATGTCTCAAAAAGCTTTTAGTCACTGGACTAGACTGTTTAAAGTCTAACAAATGACCTGTTAGCTCTGAAGGGAAATTTTCCATCATGCTCACTGATGGAACATGATTTCACATCTTTGGCATGTTTTATTTTGGAAACTTCCAGTGCTCGGGACAATGGTAAAGGTGTCTACTAATTACTCTATTTGAAAAATGGTACTTAAGCATGTGGATAAACAAAAGTCAAATCCTGGTAAGATTCATGTGAGGTATTTCCCCCATTTTTAGCTACATGTGTCTCCTCCATGTAGTGGGCGGGGTTTAACACTTCTACTGCAGCCTGCCACTAGAGGGCCTTTTCATACCTTTTGACTTAAATTTCTTCATCACACTGCTACATTATTGCAGCTGTTGTTGCTCATGTATGACCTGTTATGTGAATAATCAATGTAGTGGTCGGTTATTTTTATCCGTGTTCTAGCACCGTTTTATCCAATCTCCATAGGAGCTAGCCTCTTATGAAAGTAAATATACATGTTTAATTGAAGCTTTACAGTAAATGTCAAAATCTGGTTATGTCCAAAAAGCTGCTAAAAATAGGGTTTCTCTCAAAAATAGGTCAAAGTGGGCATCAGCAACAACTCAGCTGAATTTGCATGTGTAGCTGACTGTGTGGCTAATTAGTCCGCTTTAATAACACAATGAATCTTACCTGAGTGCGTTTATATATAGAATTTAGTGAACTTACTTGAGTTGTAGAGGACACTAAGAAGAATTGTGTTTATTTATGAATTCATTTGAGAATTGGCACCACATAGAAAAGCCTTTACACCGACTGAAATTTTCAGTTTTATGATCAAAAAAGACAAATGAACAAGCCTGCACTCTTTCAATCAAAAGGTGACAACAAAACTCAAAAACAGACCTGTGAAAAAAATTCTACATTTAGAAGCATGTTGATGAACCTTTTATTTTAGGATTCAGACGTTTTAATCAACAGTCAGACGAGTAGAGGCTTCATTATTCTACATGACTTTGTTTCAAGACTTTTATTTATTTATTTCTGAGGTCTTCTAATTTCAACCCTTTCCTTTCAACAGAAACATGGTTAACTCATTTAAGCCAAACAAACGGCAGAACCTGTCCAAAGTTTTCATGGACTACGTTTACATGCAGCCAATATCCGGGTTATGATCGGGTTAAGGTCGGTATTCGGGTTTCTGAGTTGATCAGAATAACCCGTTTACAAGCATAAATAGAAAGAGTTACCTCTAACTTGCATAACCCGATTTAAATGTGGACGTTGGGGTAGCGTCAGGACGTATGGACTACGTCCAGACGCAATACGCGTCATTTCCGGTTCTTCTTGTTCCGGTATCCGTGAAAACAACAAAATTTTTCCAAGTTCGGAAGCGATAGCGACCGCGTTTGTTTGCGCTTTAGTTTCCTCGTCACTCCAAAAGTGTGGTGCTGTGCCACGACTCACCATGTTGCTCCCAACTTGTTGTTTACTTCCGGTGTTCTGGCGCATACAAGACGTCTCGCTACTCAAAAGACCAAGATTCCTTGCGAACAGAGCATGCGCAGAACACACGCTTTGATGGGGATATCCCGGTATGCGTTTACACGACCAAACATTCGGGTTAGAAAAGGGTTACCCCAGGTGTAGTAACCGGGTTTTTAAAAACCCGGTTATGAGCATATCCGGGTTTTTCGCGGTGTTTACAAGGACCTGCGGAACCGGGTTATTGTGAATATTCGGGTTTTAAAAGGGTTACTGGCTGCATGTAAACGCACTCACTGAGAAGAGACTGTATTTACTTCTCGTTAACGTTTTAATCTCAAATGCAACTACAGACAGATCAAATTAATTTTCTTTGTTACCGTCATGAGGTGTGCCAGTTTGCACATTTGTGAATTGCATCTTACTTGCATTGTTTTCTCTGTCAGGCCTTTAAATCAAATTTTCTGTGCTCTTGTTCTCATTCTGTCTCATTACAGCCACATTCCTAAACATCTGCTCTCATTTACACATTTTTCTATTTCTGCAGTAAATCAGAAAAAAAAACGTCTCAAATTTTGTTTGAAAGTAACCCGCTGCATTCACGTTGACCTATGCTATTACCTGAGTAATTACATGCTGCTGCCCTGCTGCGATAAAATTCTAATTTTGTGAACATGACCTTCCCTGACAGACGTAGTTGGTTTCGTCCGTATTTATGGGTAATATTATAACAGAGGAAATGAAGGTGACAAAATGTCTGCATTGCTTTTGTACACAGTTCATACTCTTAATGCAACACAGGGAGAAAACTGCACACAACAAAGCTGCTCATCAGCTTTGCGGCTGCTTTCTCTACTGAATGAGCATTCAAGATTCATTGCTGCAAACTTTTATCATGGCATGACGCTCTTTAACCAGCCCAGCTGTAGGCAACAATACCGCACTTACAATTTCAGAGTTGCCAGTCTGGTCCCTGCTGGTCTCTTTCTTCACACTGGAGTCATCAGTGGTGCAAAACGTACTCGCATCATCCACTGTGCACTAATCCACACCGGATCAGGAGAATCATGAAGCCATGAAGCGGTTTTTCTGCCGTCCTCCTCGTCAATGTTGCAAGATCACAAAATCCCTCAAGACTCCAAAAGTCACGATTTGTTTATGCCATCCGCCATTAAAGCAAAAAAAAAGAAGGTAGAAATCACGTTTGACATTACTGTTTGATGTCATCTATGATGTTACACACCGTTGCACTTCTTGAATGATGCTAGGAGTAAAGAGGCAGTTAGGTCACATGTATTTATGTAAACTACACAGATATGAAATTGCATCGCTGTAATATTCCTTTATTTTGAAAATTACTGAACGTTTTTCGGTGAAACCGTGTGACTTCCTGTGTAATTCTATGTTAACTGCGGAAACTGTTGTGTCACCGAAGTGGCTCATGGCAAAAATAGAACCCACTCCTATCTTTAGCGGTGCAGCGAACTGCTTCTGGAACATGTCTGAAAATGTCCCCACCCCGGCTGGTTTGAACCACGCCCATAGACTATAATGGATTATTTTTGAAACGGCGATGTTCCGCTGCCGTTCCGCGCCGCTGTTGCCTCCAGTGTGAATTAGGCTTTAGTAAAGTGAAGCTGACATATCTGCCGCTGCAGTCTGCTTCCAGCAAGTTTCCTGCATGTTTTAGATCGTGAACACATTGATTTACTGATGAATCCCTCCTGTAGAAACTAATGAAGGCTGGGAGACATTTCAGCAGTTAGCTTGATAGCATGCATCATGCAAACACTGTGTCCAAAAGTGAAAAATGCTATATTTACCCATACTGGTAACAAAAAAAAAAAAAGATGTTTGCTCTATTTTGTCCATTTTTCTCTGCTTGGAAATGCTAGTCATCATCTTGAATTACCTAATTTTATAAACTTCAAAAGTATTGTCTATGTTTGGGCTGGTGGTAGAGAACCCAATTATCCGTAATAGTATGAGCACAAAAATGAAGTAAAAATACAGAATGACAGTAACATCAATGGATAGCATCCCAAATAAATACCTTTTGACAGCAAGTAGGATTTGGTTAATTTAATTCTTCAGTTATGAACAGCCAGGTAAAGTACAGAGCCTTTATGTTTGGGTTTTAATAGAGAATTCCTCCAATTTGCCACTTTCTGCACCTTTCCTGCTGAGAGTCAGAAGAGCTCGACCTTACGAGTGAGGGGAAAGGAGGGCATGTATGGTTGTCAAGACAACATCCAGTATGTAAAAAAGGGAAGCTGAAGGTAAAGAAACTGAAAGAAGGGAACAAGTGATGGTAATGGAGCTTAGCTTAGCTGGACATCTCTAAATACAGTGTGCATTCTCACAGCTGTCACATGTGGAAGGGAAATGTTTGTTGCTAACGTCTACATGCCAAATCCACATTTGTTCAAAGCTCCAGTTTTGTACAGCAAATAGTTTTAATTTCCTGTCAGTGTTCTGTTCTTTTCCCTGGCACTGCCTGACATCCCAAAATCTGCCAGTCCGACATATTTTTATGATTTCTAGTCACATCTTGATTCTCTGTCACCCCTCCAGAGATCTGTCTGCTGACCCGTGGCAGACGGACAGCCAGTGTGCGAGCAGACACCTACTGTCGCCTTTACTCCCTCTCGGTGGACAATTTCAATGAGGTGCTGGAGGAGTATCCCATGATGAGAAGGGCCTTTGAGACAGTTGCCATCGACAGGCTGGACAGGATAGGTAAGGCTGTCGAGTTAATAAGGCGGACTGATGCATCATTTGAAGGCAAAGGTGTGTGTTCACATCTCCTTTGGAACCATGTGATCTATGTTTAAAAAGTTTAGTTTCTCCATGTGATATGAGAAAAAGAAAAACAAAGAAGTTATTTTAGCTCATCATATGAAATCTCCAGCAGAAGAGTAAACACATCAAAACTCAAGTAATTACAAAGCATATAATCATAAAATAAGTAATAGTAATAATCTTCGTGCAGCAAGCATGCACCAAGGCTCTTCAGTCAGATTCAAATCATAACATCGGATTGTCTCGCAGACTTTTAACACAAAGTCAAATCTGCTCTAAGAAATTTTAGTAAATGAGCACTTTTTTCAAAAATCTGCCTCTTAGGATTCATTTTTGGGCTCCCACTGAAAAACCAAGCGTTAATGAGTGCATGAGTCATTCATAGAAATGGGGCCAAAGGAAACAACTCATTCATTAATGCAATGTTTTTGTCAAAACAGTGCTGGGATGTTCAGCATGGACGAGTGTGTGTGTGTGTGTGTGTGTGTGTGTGTGTGTGTGTGTGTGTGTGTGTGTGTGTGTGTGTGTACATGCATGTGCGAGCGCGTGTGTGTGAAGTGAGAGTAAAACAGGTTTCAGATCTATGAATCTTTATTATATTTGTTGCATGATTTGAAGCCTCCTGTAGCGACAGGATGAAGTGGCAGATGAAACGTGCCACACTGATTAGTTAAATTTGAAAAGCAGACACCTTTTTCATCTGAACTGTTAAAAGCATAAACAGTTGTTTTTTTTGTTGTTTTTGACAAGTTATTTTTTACCCATCATGTGAACAACTCCTGCTCCCCGTTTCTCCAAGGTCAGCCATGCTGCTGATGCCACCTGACTACACTTGACATGTGTTACAAAAGCCCCACATCTACTACCTGTCGGGTGTTGCCATGGCAGCCACGTTCCACACTGGAGCAACCTTCAGTCTGGCATTTTCACTTATTTTGAGAAATACTGACATGTCTGCTTCAAGACTTAACCAGCCGCCAAAACATTCCCACTGGGCTCCACGAGTGCTCGGTGCACGTAAATCACCATCTTCTGTTATTCTAGAGTCCACTAGTATTGTGATGGTGCCACTCACTGCTTCTGTCTGGATTCCTTGGGTTTCCGACCCTCTCCACTCCAACTATTAGTAAAGGCGCAGTGGACGTTTTTGGACAAAGCCGTTTAAGCAAGCTACATCTGGAAAGTAAAAATTATTTTCAGGCTGCCCCTTAGAGTCACAGAATCAAATTGTCACAGAATTATACAGCACGAGAAGTAGCAGACACTGTCCAGCGGCCATAAAAACATAAAGTTATTTTACCTTTTAGTTCCATTGTTGGCACCTTTTCTGCCTTAATTTCTAATGTAACACAACTATGTAACCATATAACAATTTCATAAATTGTCATAAATCAGGAATAACAACCTTTTTGGATAACATGTGATGCCGAAGCAGGCACCCTGAGTAATTTTAGGAACTTTATAGTTTCTTGTTATTATTTCAGTCTGATTCTGATGATTCTGATTCACTGAAATGGATTTAATCTCATCCTTCATGACTTAGCAATGGTTCAGAGAGATAACAACTGTTTAATTGAGTTTATCTACCTCATCATAGATCATAGATTTACTAGAGCATAAAAATTGGTATTCCAGTGCTCAGAGGAGCAAGACAACTTATTACGAAAGCAAAAGTTCTGTCTGGGTTCTTCATCACACTTCCTGGTTATATGATGTAGAAGAACTCACACAGACAGCATCTTCTAAAAATCCTTTTAGTGGCCAACCAGAGGTTGCGGTACACCTGAGCAATCCCATTAATGGTGATCTCTTCAGCTGCAGCCTCTCCCTGCTGGAACCCCTACTCGAGTGCACACCTGCTTTCGGAGATGACCTCTACATTAAGTGCAACAGTGCAGAGGCATTATACCAATCTCTATCTTATAGCCATACTGTGGAACTTTATCATATTTATCATTTTCTTGATCGAGGAGATATGATTTGTTTTCGTTTAAACCACAGAGAATCAATAAAGGACACTAGGAGGTGCTGGAACAAGCAACACTTCTAAATGTGACTTTAATTCTAAAATATGAGATGGAAATTAGTGGCATGTTCATTTTAGATTCTAGTCAAGCCAAGTCACAGTTTAGCTGCCATAATTTATCACCTCTAGAGCCCAAACAGTTAATAAGTCCTCACCTCCTAAAGGTGTTGTAAGAGCTGGTTAACGAACACACTCCGTTATAACTTGTGAGTAGCTCATTTACTAAGCTGAAACAGACAGTAATTCTCACAGTGAAATGGCCTTTCTCAAACAAAATGAAACTAGCTACCAAAAAGGAGGTCAAAATGTGCTGGAGAAGGTTCTCAGTCATCCAGGTGGATGGAAATGATAGTCACTTCAAATTACGGCAACTGGACTTCTTTGGTTCCTTGAAGATGTTTTGCAACTCATCAGATGAGCTTTGTCAGTTCTAACTGGACTATGCAGAGTCAAGCTTATTGGTGTAAAGTTTACTGGGATGTTGTGTTTGAGAACTTTTTTCTCTGAAGAAGAATTTTCTCAAGACAAGCCCACCAACCAACACCCTCAGACAGAAGCAGGTTCATCAAAGGACAAGACACCCAACCAGAAGCCTCGTCTGTTGTGGCAGACCAGGAAACGTGCTGCCGTTCTCTGGCTAAGTAGTCGGGAGGGAGGGAGGGGGAGGGCCCCATCAGGGTGTGCGAGACGGCCAACAGTAGTCACATGACAACCTTTCCCTGTCTCATTACTGTTGCAGTTCTGACTTGGTTCAATGTTTGTTGACCCTCTGGCGGCCTGGGATGAAGAAAGTTGACCTGGAGATACGATGGCTTAGTCCTCTCAGCCGCTGTCTCCATACTTTCAGGACTTTGCTAAGATGTATCGTGACTGCTTCGTCAGTGAGTGATGTCACTGATCAGAGCATGGGCATTAATTGCATTAAAAGTTTTATCTTAAAACCATACTGTAAAGTTTTATTTTGTCAAAGTACGTTCAAGTACGTTAATCCATACGGAGGATGAGGAGAGTCTCTGTGGGATGTTAAATTACCAGAAGAAGCTTCGTTTTTTGCAGGGCTCTGTGAGAAAACATAATGATGTGAATTACATCGCTGTGGGGAGATTTCTGCTGCCTTTTTTGTTCTTGGGAGTTTAGAAAAGACAATTTTAAAGCAGCGTTAAAGGGGCTAATTTTCTTTTCTTTCCAATCTGCTTCACTAGCAACTCTTTCAATTTTACAAATACCGGTTGTTTTGGCAACACTTGCCAATGTTATTTCCTACTAAGTTACAAACAATCAGTGTGAGTTAACCACAAGTCCTGCTCAGCGGCTCAACTTGGCATTTTCCAAGTACCTACTAGCCTAGTGAACTAGACCAAATTCTTGCTTTGCAAAGTTTGGTCTAGGAACGCTCCACTGGAACCTCTGCAGCCCCAACAGCATTCTGGCTGGCCAACCACAGCTCTCTAGAGGGGTTTCAAACACATAAAGAGCTGTGATTGGTCCATAATGGTGGGCCAATCATAGTGCTCTTTCTGCTTAGTGAACAAATCACGGAGCTTTATCCGCTTTGTTGGCCAATCAGGGCACTCTATATGCCTGGTGGGTGGGATGATGCAACAGAGTGAAACAAGAGTATGTCACATTCATTGTCCAGTAGCATGCGGAGATCATTTGAAAGACAACGGTAGAACCCGCCCCACAACCGAGAGCCGTCAATGGAGCGTTGCCAGACTAAATAATACATTAATTTAGTCTGGCTTGCCACCTGACCCCTACCCCTGTTCAGGCTCTTGTTGGTTCCTGAAATTAGCCTGAGCAGCCAGACCCAATGCTTCCTTATGGGAAAGATTGGGTCTGGGAACTCTTCGATTCAAATAACCCCACCCCCTGAGAATTCTAACCGAGCTAATCAGCACTGAGCAGCGTACGTCACACACCACAACGCCGAGTTTCTTATGAACAATGAAGATGGCCTCTCAAGCGGAGTTCGCTGCGGCTCTTTTCTCTGTTCTAAATGACTTGTTCACGTCTTTAAAACCACAACAAGTAGAAGCGCTAAAAGCATTTCTTTTAAAGAAAGATGTCTGCACCTTCACCAGACGCTATTTTTGACTACAGCATTGCACGGTACAGTCAGCATTTCCGCTTTTTTCTTATTGGCTATTTTTGAATTGGCTAGTCCCGTTCCTCGTGTGCCTCTCTGCCTGTGAGTAACCAGACTAGTTCTCTGTGTAGAAACAGATGAGTCTGGCAGGCTAGGCTATCCGGAAATGGCCCAGTAAAATGTCCTTTTGGCTGGCCTGGTGAAGTGGAGATGTGCACATGCAACAAAATTCCCATAGAGTAACTCTGTAGTTCCGATAGCGGGAATGGCCCTAAAGTTGTCCAGTTGTCAGTTGAACCTACAAATCAAATATGTGCTCTCATAGCTCAGGATAATTCCCATCGTACTTGTATTTTCTGTTTTCCTGTCTCTACAGGCAAGAAGAACTCGATCCTGATGCACAAAGTTCAGCATGACCTTAATTCTGGTGTTTTCAACAACCACGAGAATGAGATGATCCAGGAGATAGTCAAATATGATAGGGAGATGGTTCAGCAGGTGGATGCACCACGGCCACGAGCCATGTCCATGACGTCTCCTCTTCCCAGTGGGATCTTTATTCCTCCAGCTTCTTCCACTCAGCCCCGAGACTCAGCAATTGCCACTTTGCAGCAGGCTGTGGCCATGAACTTTTGTGCCCCCATGCAAGGGAACTCGGTGGGGACAGGAACGTTGCAGTCTCCAAGGTTGGTGAGGAGATTCCAGGTGATGCAGAGTGCATCCAGCCCTGTCTCGGCTTCTCCACTACAGTCCCAGCTTCTTGCTTCCAGTGCCTTTGCTTCAGTCCTGGCCAGTCCACCTGTCCAGAGCCCACTGGCAGCTGGAGGACGAACATTCCAGTATGGATCCAGCACCCTGGCTGGTCCCATCTCAGGCTCCCAGCTTTCTCTGATTCAGCAGCACATGGCCAGTCCTGCACACCAGCCCAGTGCACACAAGAGCACTCATTCTCTGCAGCTAGGCAGCCTGAGCCAAGACGTTCGAGCACTATCAGCCTCCCAGCCTTCACTGCCTCATGAGGGGGCACAGCCTGGTGTCCCCAGTCCCCCTCAGTCCACAAGAGTTTCATCCACTTCCATCGGACCCCCTCAAACGCCATTAGGCTCTACAGTCATTCGGAGCGCAATCCCACATAGGGTGGTACTCCCCCATCAGTTGTCTGTGGGGGCTTTCCCTGTAGCATCTCTACCTGGTTCTGTGCACAGTTATGCATCTGGTGCAGAGATGGCAGCAGGGGGTCATGGGGACATGGGACCGCCTAAGAAAGACTCTATAGCGAGCCTTCCTGAGACAGACCACATCAAAGTCCGATCAAGGCTTTCATCAAATTTGTGATCTTAAGCAAACTGTGCTGGGAGAGTGACTCGGTGCAGCAATACTGCTCTTTTTCCAAGTGGGACTATCTGAATGTATGAACTGTGAGCAGGAAGCATCTGAGGAAGGATTGCAAAAACTGAGATGTTTCGACTCGCATGTGTAGTTGCTCAAATAAGTAGTGGCAAAGTAGCTCCTATTACCACACATTCATCAACATATGCTTCAATGTCCTTTCATTCACGTAATTTAATGCAAACTATGGTTGACATGGGAATTAAAGATATTCAGGCCCCTGTTTCAGAAATCAGTGGTGGGCACTTTGTTGGTGTTACACGTTTTTTTTATCTCCATGATGTTCCAGCTGCAGAAAATGATCTTCTCTTAAGCAAAAGCAGTGTTTCCCCCCAGAAAACTTAATCCACCCTTACGGGCAAGCACACGTTTTAAATAAATACTTTATGACAATTTTAAGAAAACATTTTACCTGGATACTTTAAGCCATATTTCCTACAGACTACTAATGGGAACAGAATAATTGTAGTATGTAAGACTTTAATGTTCTTCCTTAGATCTACTGGTATTCATACCATTAGATCAGAGGGGATGGCCAGCCTACATACTGGCATCATAAGAACAGGACAAATTCTCTAGATACAGATATTGGTTTCTACCAAAAATGTTTTTTTTTTCTTTTTAACTGTTCAAACATAAGCTTAAAGGTTGTGGTGCAAACCAACAAAGCTGGCTTCTCTATTAAAAAGGGGACAATTTTACTCACAAGAAGCCTTCAGTCAGGCTTTTTCCATGATCTGCAGGAGGTTGTTTGTAACCAAGAACGTTGTAAAATATGCAAAGTTAAGCAGCTATAGCAGTCGGAGACCAAATTGGAATTTGTCAAACAAACCAAAAATATGGAATTGCAACAAATTGTTTTTATATGTTCAGAAGGCAAAATAAGTTACAAACTCCCATCATACCAAAAGGGTTTGTTGTGAATATTCACTCTAACCTGTCCATGAAATGACTGATGAAAGTTTCAAGTTAAAACAGTTGGAATGTCTTCTCCAGTGGTGCTGTGTCTCCAGTGATGCGGGCATTGTACCAATCTGTCATGGTGAAAAGAGAGCTGAGCAGGAAGACGATGCTCTCGATTTACCGGTCAATCTACAGTCCTACCCACACCAATGGTCACGAGCTTTGGGTAGTGAATGAAAGAACGAGATTACAGATACAAGTGACCGAAATGAGTTTCCTCCGCAGAGTGTCTGGGCTCTCCCTTAGAGATAGGGTGAGAAGCTCAGTCATCTGGGAAGGGCTCGGAGTAGACCTGCTGCTCCTCCACATCGAAAGGAGCCAGTTGAGGTGGCTCGGGCAACTATTTAGAATGCTTCCTGGACGCCTCCCTGGTGAGGTTGTCTGGGCACATCCAATTGAGAAGAGACCTAAAGAAGGACCCAGGACATGCTGGAGGGACTTAGTTTCTTGGCTGGCCAGGAAACGCCCTGGGGTTCCCCTGGAGGAGCTGACTCATGTGGCGTGAGTCAGCTCCCAGGGAAGCCTGGGCCTGTGTGCCTAGGCTGCTGCCCTGCTACCCGTCTCCGGATAAGTGGAGGACAATGGATGGATGGATCTCTCAGCAGATTTATTAGGGTTTAAAGGGCATTTGTGTAATTTCCTGCCAGTGAATTACAATTATATCAGTTTTATACAATTGTAAATTCTGACTCTCATAGTCAAAATTCATAGCTTTCATAACCTAACTTTCACTTTCCTTCAGTGGCAGTTTCAGCAACGTATCTCAATGCCAAAGTCAATTCACACAAACAATGACACTCCGGCGCCACACAACCAACTGATCACGCCCCAGCGTTCCTAAACAGCCAAGGACAGCACAGATACTTTGCAGGATGTACTAAATATTGAATATTGAAGTGTGTCTCAGTCGTTGAGGCCTCAGTCAGAGTTCACTGGATGCCGCTGATTTGTGTCCAGATGCATTAGGAAGGGGACCCTTTTTTCCTGAACCTGACATCTCATTCACCTCCTCTCACTAAAGCCTGAATCATTACAGGGTAATGAGGGTGGAAATTGGAATCCCTCGGGCCTGTTTGGGTCTGTTATTATCATCGTTCGGATGGATTTCGTTACACAGTGCCAATAATGAGTTCATATGCCATGATCACTTGGCATTTGCATTTTGTTTGGCTTGTGTTCCCTGCACTGTTAACCACACTGACTTCTAAATCAGGAAAAGTTGACAGTTTAGAAGTATTTTTTTTTATTCTTCATACAGTTTATTTGAGGTTTGTTGTGTTTTTGTTTGAATCATGCCCCCTGGACCTCATCTGGGTCCTGAAACCTAATTAATACAGGCTTGTTATGAAAATAGTGTTTACTGAACATTATTTTCAGAGGAATTGTCTTGAGACAGAAAATGCATTTAGTGACAAACTTACTTTTTGAATTTTCTTGTAACACAATCATAGATGATTGTGTAATTTAAAAAAAAGAAGTAAAAGGAAAAAAAAGGGTTGAAAGTCAATAACTAAATCAGCGTCTTGTTGCAACAGCTGCTGATGCGTTTCTTAACTACTGGAAATCTTAAAGCTTAACAATTACCCAAAACCAGTGTTCTGCATATTGTAATTTTTATTTAAAACCTTCAGTTTTCAATGCACTGCATTTATTCATTTCTGTGAAAGTGATGTTGAAGACACAAAGCAATAATAGCCTGAAGAAATGAGTGAGTGGTAACTTTATGCAGATGATATTCTATTGTATCCTTGTGTGCATGATGATGCAATATTCCAAATTTGGAATTTTTTCCCCAAACTTCACTGAGAATTTGTGTTTTTCTAAGCTGACCATTCAATCTAAACCACAGACGTCCCTAAAAGTAACTGTAAACGAAGCATGAACCATTTAAGCAAAATTGTATAACCTAGTTATTAAATGTACACCTGTTACTGAAGAAACAGGAAAGTTTTCTTTTTCAACTCTGACAAACTTCTTTGGTTTGAACATATATTTTCTTGAACGTAAGGATTCAATCAGAAGAAAGTCATTTGCACTGCAAAAGAAGTGTCATGTTATTCCTGCAGATGTTTGCAGGACCTCCCAGAGTCTGTATATAATCCTTGGCCAGTTGCTGTAAGGTCTGCATGGTATTTCCTTCTGTTTAGATTTGTTTTTCTGTTGCTACACACACACACATCCAGTTAAAAGTCCAGGCACTAAAAGCAGCCTTTAAACTTTTTACCTTTATCTTTTTTGGTTAGCTGCTCAGCGCTCTGTACAAGCAATCTGCTCTCTCTTTGTAACTTTGCAAACACATTTAGAGGCATGTAAATGTTACAGTGACTCAGCTGTTCAACTCTTTCAGTGCACCCACGTGGTTTTGGTTGGGACGGCATCAGCACCATGCACACATTTGCACGCATGGTCTACAGCATTCAACGAGGCTGCTTGTTTTTGCCATGCTGCGTGATTTATTTTGGCTTTGCAGGGACTGGATGTATAAAGCCGATCTCTTTTTGTGCTTTATATCCATAAATACATCATGTTCAGCTGTAGTTTTTACCCGATGTGTTTATGTTTAGTACGGAGAAAAGTTTTTGGGACCCCACAAGGGCTGCTTGAATTCAACAAGAGTTTGAATTGAAATCTTAAAAATAAAACAGAAACAGAAATTATTTCAGATTCTTCCTCCTACTGGTTAATAGCAACACATAAAACCACAGTGCTGCAATCACGTATTTGCTTTTGTGACATTTAAATGTTCCAGATCAGCAAACAACTTCCAACATCAGACTAGATAGCCCAAAGTACAAAATGCAGTTTTAAAATGATGATTTATTTTAATTAGATGAAATTTTCTGCATCAGAAGGGTTTCCAGCCTCAAGGGCTTGTTTATGGTCAAAGTTAAGAATGTCTCCTTCATGAGTTTCTGATGGAGAGAGAGAGATCAAGGCTGCATGGCAGTGCAGTTGGTAGCAGTGTTGCCTCGCAGCGAGACAGTTACAGGTTTGAATCCCAGCTGTTGCGTTTGAAGTTCGCACGTTCTCTTCAATGGGTGAGTTTTGTCTAGGTGTTCCATTTTCTTCTCGCAGACCAAAAAACATGCATGTTAGGGCCAATTCACATGGCTAGGTTTAAAAATTGTCAAACGATGTTCACGACATCAGAGACCGCACACACTGCAATGAAAAACATTACAGATATAAAAGTGCTGTTGCTTCGGTGTGTGCAGCAACATTGTAAAAAGTACACACTACACACAAACAGGTTTCACACCCAAACATGAATTGGGAGTAAACAAACACGGTGGTGGAGGAGCCTCCAGTGTGCTCCCGTCACCTCGCCTTCTGACTGGCTTCTCTTCCAAAGTTAGTTTGTCATCGAAGTCAAACCAAGAGAATCCAACATGTGGAACAACATCTTGTGATTTATGATCGTAGTCGTCCTAATGCACCTTTGTGTGCAGACCAGAGCACTCGTAACCCAGCAATCGATGGGTAAATTTGATATAATTATTTTTGGAACCTTTACAATAATCTGGCAGGAGAGAATCAGGTCAAAAATGTCATTATTATCTTACCGTGTGAACCAGGCCTTATGTTATGACTTTAAATTGTTGTTTGTCTCTGTGTGTCCCTGTGATGGACTGGGGACCTGTCCAGGGTGTCCTGTGCCTATTGCCTGCTTGGAGACCAATACTAGTTCTCCATCAGCTTACTGAGGAACATGAGTGAGCAAGCGGGGTTTGGGAAGATACTGTCTGTGCCGATGAGATAAAAGTATTCGGGATCATCAAGATGTTTTTGGTAAATTATTAGACAGGCTGATGTGTCATTTTAGGTCAGAAGAGGGTTTTGCCTCTGAACTAGCTTCCAGTGGTGCCCTTGTTTCTTTATTATTGTTGAAGCGTAACCAGTTAGGTCAATTACTTTCTCACATTGGGGCCAATTTAGTTTAGGTAAAAGTATCACTTAATACATGAGATCACCTTTTGAAACTGCATTTTGTATAGGCAAAAAAGCAAAACCGAAAGAAAGGTGTGTGTAATAGTTTTCCATGGCACTGTACAGGATGCACATTTTGCACAGGTACATTCATTATATCTGTAAAATCACCACTGTATTCATCTACTTTTGCTTTTGTCTTCAGACCCAAAACATCAACGTAACCCAACTCAAAGAAAATACTGATTGACGCGTTTTAAAGCCAATAATAAAATTATATATAAACATTTGCTTTTGCCTTGAACTTTGGAAAAAATCTGATCTTATTCACTCACTCTCTGGGAAATAACAGTGAATGTTTCTGTGTCAGGGGACAGGTCTTCTCTTCTTAAACCCTCTGCACACCCCATACCTACGCGAGTATCTTCTGTACATACCGTACCCAGTGCCTAGCAGAAGTCTTAGTCTTTATAAACATGTACAATATTCTTTGTGTGTGGCTATAAAAAATGCAAGATCCTCACAAACATCACTGTCAACTGTATTCCACTGCAATACATGTACAAAGAGAACCAATAAATTGTATTTGAATACATTCTGGTTCCTGTTTAACTTATATTTTGCTTTTAACGCTGGGATAAAGCATGGAAAAGGCTTGAAGCTCATTAGAATCTTCATTTTATCATGCAGCTTGTTATGACTGCCTCTGCTTTACAGCTTAGGTTCAATATCTGACAGGAAATCAAAAATAAAACTCATTTCTCTCATGACTTTGGGTCTCATCTACATAAACGTTCATCCATGCTTCCTTCAATCCTCTCACACCATTTAAACAGGTCAATAACTCATTCGGTTTGTGTCCACAACCTTTCTCTGGTTACATTCAAGCATGTATTCACTCTGTTGTTCCATGTCACTCTAGTTTGATGGACGTGACGGACCCGGGACCCGTCTAGGGTGTTCCCCTCACATGAACCAGCACAGAAACTAGCAGGTAAAAATGAATGATTGTTGCAAGTTGATTAAAATACATATTATTGGGAGCAAAAAGCACTGTCATTCATCAAAAATCTGCCATTGACAGTAAAAGATCATAAACTATTTTAGATATTTTGTTACTTTAGGCCAGGGGTGTCAAATATGCGGCCCGCGGGCCGAATCCGGCCCACAAGAGGGTTAAATCCGGCCCGCGAGATGGTTGTGTAAACTTTATTTTCATACTTTACAATGTAGAGTGAAAATAAACGTATCTTTGTGAGCAAGTTTTCTCTGTAATGAGTATAAATAAAACAAAGCTGCGCTCAAGGCTCACACAAGAACTTGAATCCCATCCTGAAGTTGGCCGCCACTCAGGATGTGACTTCTGATGTTGATGTGCTGGTGAAAGCTAAAAGATGTAAAGTAAAATGAGTCAAATATACTTTAAGTGCTGCATGAAACTGATCTAGTCATGTGATCTGTAAGCTCTTTGAATCACTAAGGAATTTTTTTTATTGATTTTTTATTTTTTTCAAATTTTCAAGTACACTTCAGGTGTTGTACTTGTACTATTTTGGATACACTGTCCTCAGGCTCCAGCCTTGTTTTATATTGATTGTATTAAAACAAAGAAAACAATCTGAAGTTGTTTTTAATTTACCGGTCCGGTCCACTTGGGACTAGATTTCTCGCAGTATGGCCCCTGAGCTAAAATGAGTTTGACACCCCTGCTCTAGGCTGTCCAGATAAAACACTTTTCTGTGTGTTATCTTTTTAAAAAACAAACAAATGTTAAACACCTGATAATACTTAACTTTTGTAGTTACATTAGAATCCAGTTTCTAGTTCTTGAGGCAATAAAGACATTTTTGTTAGTCATTGTGACGGATTTTGGCTGCACATATGAGACGGAGTCTTCTAAGGACGTTTTAAAAAGATTTGTGTACATTTGCCGCTCAGAAGCTCGCCTAATAATCTTATATTTCCTATGAAAATGTCACACACCTATTTTAAATGTATTTAGGTGTTTATTACAGGAAAAGAATGATCTTCCAGCGTTGGGTAAGGTCTCTGAAGCAGAGCTGCATCAGGTGTATGGTTGTTGTGGTTGACTTAATCAAGGAGTCACAGTCTGTCAGTCAGGATTAAGGTCACACACACACACACACACACACACACGCATGCATGCACGCACGCACGCACACACACACCTGCCAATACTGTATCACCTGTAACACTGATACTCCCACCCCACTGCCTCCTGCTGCCTGCAACCCCACCCCCTCCAGAGCTGTCGGTACACTCTGCTCCCCTGCCAGTGCTGCTGACTGCCGGGCTCTCAGGACACCACGGGTCAGGAGATAGGGCGGGAGAGCCCAGGAGACTGGCAGGAAAATCAAAGTCCCCCTCTTGGTGAGAGTGAGTGGTGCGGCTACCGTAGAGCTCCGGCATGTCTGATAGATAAAGCCATACACTTGTGTGGTGTCCACTTTATGATGGCGCTCCTGCTGGAATAACGAGCTGTCTCAATCCCACACTCCCAAAAAGCCACCCAGAGCTAGAAACCTCAAAGTTTATGGGAATCACAGAAGAACTGACCTTATGTGTCTGTTATAATCTTTAATGGTTACAACAGGCATTTTATTATGTACAGTTTTTTATCATGAGGTCATAGTAAAGCTGTTTGAGAACTTACAAACTTTTTATACCAACTTATACTTTTATTTACTATATATAAACAAATTATCCATGACAGCTTAGACTTTTTGTCTCCCTCAAATACGTCACTCTCAAGTTGAGTTAACTTGGTTTTGTCTCAAGTATGCTGGTGAAGGTTCTCAGTCATCCAGGTCATGGTAATCCAACTGGACTTCTTTGGTTTCTTGAAGACATTTGACAAAGCTCCACAGATGAGAAGCAAATTGTCTTCAAGTAACCCAAAAATTTCAGTTGCCCTCATTTAAACCCCTTTGGATTTTGTCTAAAAAAAAGTATGCAGCGGTGTTCCCTCAGAACGTGAGGTAGCCACAGTTTTATATATTTTAGCTAATTTTTTCCCCGTTTAATTCATTTATATTAGCTTGTTCTTTTACCAACATCCTTTGCTTTTATCTCATGCTTGTATTTGTCTCCATGTATATTTTTAGTTGACCATCGCATGGATCAGTGATGTGTTAACTTCCTTTATACGTGTAGAGCACTTTGGTTCTCCGACTGGCCGACGGAAGGCGCTTACAAATAAAGTTGATGATGATGAAATCCCTCCAGTAAGCCCCCAAACGGCCCCTGTTACATTTTAGTCTTTAATTTTTTTTAATATTCAAACCCAACAGAAACCAAACCAAACTAGTGTTTACTAGTGTTTCTGTTGACAATAGAAGCCTGCGTTCCACTGTCGGTGTGTGGTAATCATGGTGACCCTAATGAGTTACTGGCAGCAGCTTTACCATTTCTTTTGATTTATTATATATGTTTATGTTTATTTATTTGGCAGATGCTTTTATCCAAAGTGACTTACAATTCATAACCTATAGGGCATGTTGTGATCTGTGGGGGAAACCGGAAAACCCGGAGGAAACCCACGCATGCATGGGGAGAACACGCAACTCCACGCAGAAAGGCCGCAGCCGAGTTTCGAACCTGCAACCTTCGTGCTGCGAGGCAACAGTGCTAACAACTGCACCACCATGCAGTCCAATATAAGTCCCATTTTTCTGACGAGATTTAGTAATGATGCTTACTGACATTTGAATTCTGGAAAGTACCCACATCCTTTGTGAGCTTTCTAGCTGCCTTCACCATCCTGATTCTATTTGTGATGATGGTTGTTTGGAGACTATCACAGCATGCTTGGAGTGTGAGACAGGGGAAAGACCCTAACAGGCCCGCTCTTTATCTCAGTCACACCTTTGACTTGTTTAAAGTACACTTGACTCACATCCCGTAAAAGCGACTCCAAACAGACACACACACACACACACGTTCATAGTTCTTATTTTGACTAGTAAGGTTAAAGACATTTTTACAGTTTGACCTGACTCCCAACGTTTCATGTATTTTAATATTAAACAGTAAAACTCTAAAGTTTCCTTATGTAATATTTGTGCCTATACAAGTTACTTGCATTCAATTATTTCAATACAAATTAATAAAAAAACATTTTAATGTATTTAATGGTAATTATTAATTTTGTAAATTGCAATAGGTGTTTCTGTTCTCAAGAATGTAATATTAAATTGGCTTAAAGCACACATGCACACATCACCAGGGCTAATTACCTGCAGCTCCCTGGTGTCATATGTCCACATCATAATTGCAGATTGTGCAAAATGCATGGTGAGGTTGTTTAGAGGGTCACAAGCATGGCCACTGTTCTGGATATTTGGACAAAAACTTATGAGACGCATGGACCCTCTTGTTTTTGGCAGGTCTGCTAACCAATCCGCCCTGTGATGGACTGGCTCTCTGTCCAGGGTGTACCCCGCCTGATTGCCCGTTGACCGCTGGAGATAGGCACCAGCCCCCCCCCCCCGACCCTGCGTGGACAAGCGGGTTCAGAAAATGGATGGATGGATGCTAACCAATCCCTCCATGTCTGCTTCTCCCTCATCTGCCATAGCATGAGTTACAAAACAAGCTGCAAAAAAAATTAATGGCTTCATGTTTAAACTGTATGAATAATCACATGCCTCCTTATATACAAGCTAAATCTATCTGCAATGGATAAAGGCAAAATCCACACACACACACACACAGTTTACATAACCAGAACAGCAGCGAGTGGCGAACCGGAGGGAGGGAGAAAGGAGGAGGAGGGGGGGGGGGGGGGGGGGGGGGGTTAGGCTATTGGTTAGGCAGGATAGTTTTTCTCTGCTTTTCTACGATGATTGGCGTAAACTTCTTCACCACGCCGCTGAGTCGTGTTGTCAGACATGAGTACCACACGTGCATATTTGCCACAGAACTCAACTCATGTATCCGCAGCTTTTTGCGTAGTTTAGAGGGGTGAGTCGTACCAGCGTAAATAGACGCCAGATAGCGTACTGGCTATGCAAAATGCGTACAGGTTGGCAGGTCTGTAAATGGGTGTGCTTTTTGAAAAATGGACTTGTGGTTTTGGGATTTGAGTTCTAAAGATTGGTTATAGTGTTTAAGTAATCAAGAAAAGCCATGCTGAGTGAGGTGGAGAAACAGCTGGAGTTAGTGAACGTGAGTCTTCCCGGAATCGGATAAACGTCTTTGGGAGAGTTCTGGTTGGAATCAGCGTTTGGCTCCGGGCCAGCGCGCTGCACACATAAAACATAGGGAGATAAGTCCTCGGCGAGTCTTGGGAGCCTGCAGACAAAGGGAAGGACAAAAGACTCTGGCAATCATAGATGGTAGACTGGACACTACGGAAGAGGATCGCAGAAGGAAGGTAGAAAGTAGGAGGTTAGTAGAGAAAAGTTTGTAAAAGTGTCCGGTGATCACGGCTTAACAAAGCACAGGTGCCAACTTGTTACCGACCCGGAAGTTCAGAGACCAAGTAAATCCTATTGTTGATTGTGCTCTACTCCAAACGCTTGAAATCTACCATTATGAGTAGGGATACATACATATCGGCATTAGTATCAGCAAAAGAAAAAACAATTTCGATCAACCTCTAATTATGAGTCTTATTTTTGTATTAAAATTCAAAACTATTGCTTTACATCATGTTAAACATTTTAAGTAAAACAGCTCTTACATGAAGCATCATTCGGGTCAAAACACTGCTCTGGTGCAACAATAAGGCCTAGACCTAGTTTATGCTCCTGCGTCTGTGCGGAGACATGCAACGCCATCATCCGTCCTCGTGAGGGCTCTCCAGCAGGATCGCAAGGACGGACGGAGTCAAGCCCACTTTTCTAAACGCTCGTCAAACGAGACGGAGAATGCATGCTTGTGATTGGTCAGCTTTCGATGACAGCACCGCAATTGCGCTCTCAAAAAAATAAAAATAAAAAATAGAGCAGAAGATATCTAGCAACAGACACGGAGTGGCTCAAAGAATACCTCGTGGAAAAACTCTAAAAAACATTCATGTTTTCTTCACCTGTGACTGAAGGAGTAAAGACTATTTTCAGGGTTTGCCATGGCCCCCTCTGGCTCCCCAATGGGGAGCCGCTGATATAACCTGAGCCTTTCTGCCGCTAAACTCCCAGTGCTATCTTTACTTGCGTCTGTAAAATAAACTCTGATGAGAGAAAGAATAAGATGGGCAGATGGACAAAGTTTTTGAGTATGTGTGTTTTGTTTTTCCACCAACATTATCAGTAACAGAACATGTTGATCTCCAGGGAATTGAAGCTTGTTGACCATTTCCTGCTAGATGCAGCGTCCTGCAGGTCGAGGCGCTGACAGCAGATGTTCTGTTCCTTAAACTCAGTCGAGCTAAACGGAAGCTCCGGTTTATCAGGAGGGCATCTTCATTATCCTGGGAGCTTCCTTCTAAACTGCACATAATAAAAAGCTTCAGAACAAAAACAACTGTACAGAATCTACACCTGACTTCTCCCACCACACTATTGGCACAGGGGACTGCAAAAGGTTTAACCCTCCCACTGTCTTCATGGGTGACCCCCACCAGGAAAGGTCCACGTGGCAGGGGTGAGGTGGTGCTCACTCCTCACCGCTGCCACGTGGACCTCAAGGGATAAACCATCAATCCTGCTCAATGGTCAACTTTCCTGACGGGGTCACCCATGAAGACAGAGGGAGGGTTAAATAACTTATGGAAACACGCAGCATATGGAAGTGAAATAAAGTAATATTACAAAACAAAAACTAGACTTGCAAAAAGCTACATGAGGATTTTTGTTTTACTCCCCAAAAGTGCAACCACGTCTAAGGTCAGTTTAATTTGGAGCTTTTTCTCATCAGTTCAACCCATTTAGAGAAGTTTGTGCATTACAAATCTTTCTTTTTAGTTAGGACTACACCACCTCATGTACAGGTGCTGGCCAGTAAATTAGAATATCATCAAAAGGTTGAAAATATTTCAGTAATTCCATTCAAAACGTGAAACTTGTACATTATATTCATGCAATGCACACAGACCAATGTATTTCCAATGTTCATTACATTTAAATTAGATATTCATAAGTGACAACTAATGAAAACTCCAAATTTGGTATCTCAAAAAATTAGAATATTCTGAAAAGGCTGAATATAGAAGACACCTGCTGCCACTCTAATCAGCTGATTTACTCAAAACACCTGCAAAGGCCTTTAAAAGGTCCCTCAGTCTTGTTTTGAAGGCACCACAATCATGGGGAAGACTTCTGACTTAACAGCTGTCCAAAAGACAATCATTGACACCTTGCACAAGGAGGGCAAGACACAAAAGGTGATTGCTAAAGAAGCTGGCTGTTCGCAGAGCTCTGTGTCCAAGCACATTAACAGACAGGAGAAGGGACGGAAAAAATGTGGTAGAAAAAAGTGTACAAGCTCTAGGGATAACCGCACCCTGCAGAGAATTGTGATGACAAACCCATTCAAAAATGTGGGGGAGATCCACAAAGAGTGGACTGCAGCTGGAGTCAGCGCTTCAAGAACCACCACGAGGAGACTCATGAAAGACATGGGATTCAGGTGTCGCATTCCGTGTGTCAAGCCACTCTTGAACAAGAAACAGCGCAAGAAGCGTCTCGCCTGGGCCAAGGACAAAAAGGACTGGACTGATGCTGAGTGGTCCAAAGTTATGTTTTCTGATGAAAGCAAGTTCTGCATTTCCTTTGGAAATCAAGGACCCAGAGTCTGGAGGAAGAGCGGAGAAGCACAGAATCCACGTTGCATGAGGTCCAGTGTAAAGTTTCCACCGTCAGTGATGGTGTGGGGTGCCATGTCATCTGCCGGTGTTGGCCCACTCTGTTTCCTGAGGTCCAGGGTCAATGCAGCCGTCTACCAGGAAGTTTTAGAGCACTTCATGCTTCCTGCTGCTGACCAACTTTATGGGGATGCAGACTTCACCTTTCAACAGGACTTGGCACCTGCACACAGTGCCAAAACCACCAGCACCTGGTTCAAGGACCATGGTATCCCTGTCCTTGATTGGCCAGCAAACTCGCCTGACCTTAACCCCATAGAAAATCTATGGGGTATTGTGAAGCGGAGGATGCAATACGCTAGACCCAACAATGCAGAGGAGCTGAAGACGACTATCAGAGCAACCTGGGCTCTCATAACACCTGAGCAGTGCCACAGACTGATCGAGTCCATGCCACGCCGCATTACTGCAGTTATTGAGGCAAAAGGAGCCCCGACTAAGTATTGAGTGCTATACATGCACATTCTTTTCATGTTCATTCTTTTCAGTTGGCCAACATTAGAGAAACAAACATTTTTTCATTGGCCTTTAGAATATTCTAATTTTCTGAGATACCAGATTTGATGTTTTCATTGGTTGTCACCTATAAATATCAAAATTAAACGTAATAAACATCGGAAATACATTGGTCTGTGTGCATTGCATGAATATAATGTACAAGTTTCACGTTTTGAATGGAATTACTGAAATATTTTCAACCTTTTGATGATATTCTAATTTACTGGCCAGCACCTGTATGAATGAACCAGTGACCATCAAGCTAGATTATGAACTACCTACAATTAATCCACTGACTAGTCTCCCTGTTTGTGAACTCTGACAGACACACTAGTGTTGAAACATCGGTCCTGCTAGCATGAAAGGAATAATTAGAGACCAGAGTGCTCCCGTCCTGTATTTTTACTTTTATTTTTGTTGCAGATGTAAAATGTGAGTTGATAACTTATAGTAACCACCCAAATCTAAAAAATGTTGACTCACAGTTAATGGCACATTTAGATGCAAAATATGAATCAATATACTCAATCCATAATTTTATTTTGAAGGTTTATTGACCTCTAACTGTAGACACTGCCAGAAGGTGGTCTAAGCACCCCACACTGAATGTTTATCTAAACCTTTTTCAATTAAATGTTACACCTGTTTATGCATTGAAAACTACCTGTTGTAACGTGAGGAAGTATGGGTTTTCTGTGCCAAAGGTCGTAATTGCCCGGCTGGGCCAATGCTGGGTCACGCAGCACCTTCACCCACAGATCAAGACCTTTGCCGCCAGCAAGTCTGAAGAATTCTACAACAACCGAACACCTGGTCTCCAGAAGAAGGACTTCAACCCACAGTCTAGTCATAATAAAACAGAGTCTTAAACTTTTCATTGAACTGAAACACAGACAAACGGATATGATCGTCAGTTTATCGATGAAAACAACCTTTGAGTCTTCTTATCTCTATAACATTTGGTTATTAGTTTGTAAAAATTAATATTCCAGATTATTATGTAGAATGGTTCATCTTTCATAAAAGAGCCATCAACCATTACGCTACACTGTAATCAGTCAAAGACATTTATATAAACTCTAGCTAATTTCAAACTGTTTATTTTAATGTATTTAACAATGTTAAAATTGCCAGGGCTCTGATCGCAGCGGTCTGAGGCTCTGTTTGTAATTTTAATAAGGCTGAGCGATTAACTGCATACGCAATGTTACAAATGAGATTTGTTAATCGCAAAGGTTGCGATTTGACTGGTCACGAGACCCGGGAAAGTCACGTGACTTGCGAGCATCTCAAACAAGGCAGGGAAATGCTGCGCTTGAACTGGTTATAAAATAGCCTCAGGTTCAACAGAATCCAACGCTGCACAAAGTTGGGTACCAAAGAGGACTAGCACATCAGGTGTGTGGAAATATTTTGGCTATAAAAAAGAAGATGCTGCACAACGTCAGGTATTGTGCAGAACCTGACTTGCTAATGTCTCTACCTCACAAGGTAACACTATAAACCTTTATCAACACCTAAAACACATCACACCACCGTACGCGACAGTTGCATGGCTAAAATGCTAGCTGCCCGTGCTTCAGCTTCCAGTAAGCAAACTTTCAGCTGGCAAAGATCACTGACAGAGCTGAATAATGTATGCAAAATACATTCTATATTGTTTATAGTAATACACTGATGAATAGCTTTGCTTGTGTTAGTTGAAAAATACGCAAAAAGCCCCTTGAGAAAATAATCACAATTTAAATGGCAATAGCAATATTGAAGAAAAAATATCGCTATTAGATAATTTTTCTAAATTGTTCAGCCCTAATTTTTAACAATCCGTATTAGACGACCGGCATGAACACAGCCTCACACCGTCTCACAGGCCGGCTGCCCCGGAGCTCCGTCTAGCTTTGGGGGTTAGCTCAGCTAGATAGTAAGCAACAGTGGCTCATTTGTTCCCACCCTTTCTCATCTTTGGATTGTCTGGGCATGACGAGACGTGACTCGGCCAAAATGGCGGTGGCGGGAACCTCCCATTTTCAAACATTTAGAAATATGAGAGGAATGGGCGTTGCTCCGTCCAGAAACGAATATGCATGTCTATGGATCAAACTTACATCTCCGTCACATCATAGATGACGGGGCCATGCAAATCATTTAAACCCCCACAGTCTGATAAGCCCAGTTTATGCCCCCTCCAAGACTATTTCTGTTTCATTACATTGTCGCTCAGCCAGTTTTGTTTGGTGGCGCCGGCGCTTTGCCTCTGAACATCAGCAACACCTTTTGTCTGAAGCTGCTGTAACGTCTCCAGCCACGATCAGATAGCACTTTTGCTATTTTTACTTCTGGATGTGGCGCTGGCCCAGAAAAATAAGATCCGAGTTGATTAGTGAAGCCTGCGAAGCCTTTGTTGGCGCATCTAACAGGCGGCCTTCATCTCACGGTACACAGCAAAATGGAAATATGCAGATATGGCTAAATAACAGGCTGTCTCACTCAACCCACTTAGGCACGCTAAGAATAACAGCTTGTTTTTCTTTAGACCTGAATGAATAAAGAGAGATTTTAAGAAGCGTGTTTATTTCAGGGAAACTGTTATATCAGAGACCTTTGACTCATAATTTCTCCTGCGTCAGGGTCGCGTATCGCTGGTTCAGTAGAAAAAAACAAAACAAAACAACCTAACTTCATTTAAAAAGTCTCTTTTTTGAAGACGTTTGTGTCGAAGAGCATGCTATAGGCGACGGATGATTGGGTGGGATGGCTGTAGAGGCGGGTCAGCTCCTGGAGGTTTTTACAGATTTAAAACTCACGCACAATCAGTTTCCGGCAACAAAAAGTTTCTTCTCAGTGCAACTGAGGAGCAGAAGTTCACACGTGATTCATTACAGCAAATGTCACACATATTAACCTAAGTATCTGCCATCAGACGTGTTTTTTCAGTAATTGAAGTCTTAGCATTCCCATCCGATGCCGTCTCTCATTTTTCGCCTGGATGAGTCGCCCACCCACCATTCCATCAGTCTACAAGTCAGTTAATCAGGTGAGGTCGCTGTGTGCGAACGTCTTCAGCAGCTCCAGTTGAAGGCAGCAGGAGGCAGGCAGGGCATGGCCAGATCAATGTCCTCGTGTCTGTCTGGAGACAAAACCCCATCCAGACTCTGGGGCCTGCAGCCTCCCTGCTGCTCACTGTCAATTCCACTCATCTCTCGGTGCTGGCTCACCCGCTCAGCTGAAGAAGTAAGTGGATTCTTTTACCTGCTGGACATCAAAATCACCTGGAGAGGCAAGAGGCAACGTGTCAGAGCAGGTTTGTCAGTGCAGTGGTTTCATGTGATAAATTATGTAAACACAACTTCCTCTAATACAAAGCAGCTAATTCAACGATACATTTGCCCAATTTTATTCCATTTAAACATCACTGAGATGACTCACTTTGAGGTAAAATGATCCAATTCACGAATAAAGTTAAAAGATTAACCAAACTAACATTAGATGCATTTTTAAGTGGTTTCTTTAGGTCAAGGTGCAGCTCCAGCTCCTGTCATGATCTTTGTGCGCTGCCTTGTTTGCTCCCCTGACAGCTGTGCTCAGCAGCAGGAGCTGCAGCGTGAATTATTGAGAGATGAGCATTAAAAAGTGAAGAGTGAGGAGCTTCAAGTGGCTACAAAATACTGCTTTAGTGTACTGACCTTTGACCTTAACAGGGACCAGCTGTTAGGTAGCCATGTTTATGATTAAACATCAACAGGAAAACGATTTACGGACCATGTTTTCCTTTTTTAATGAAACAAAACAGCATCTGATGAGTGAGTCAAACCAGGCCTACTTCAGCTAACGCACTAATCTGCAAAATACAACCATTTTCAGGAACTTATAGCCAAATTTCCACCACCGGGTCTGGTACGGTGAAGAGCGAGTCACCGTCGGCAGTGTGGACCGGGGTGGGTCTGTAATTTTCAGGCGAGCGGTTTGATCGCAGATTGGGCTCTCACTTGGCTGGCGGGAGCGGGGTTAAACGTAGCGTCATGCTTGCCTTTGCGTCGTACAGCACGATGGGGAGACACGCCAAACCACAACAACAATGGAGTCCAGGCAGCAGCGCGCCGTTTCTTTTGTTGGTATTTGGTATATTCTCTACACACACATTACGAGCTATGCTGTGTGCAGCCGGGGGGAGAGCAGCTGATATGAGACGAAGAGTGTCTGGTTACCACTTTAGACATCCAGTCTCTCCGAGCTGGGCTAATGTTTACATCTGTGTGCAATTGTTATTAGTAGTTACATAAAAATGTGTTCAGCTTCTCATCCAAGTACGTTTCTGGAGTCAAACTGAAAAATTCAGAGAAAAACGTTAACAGCAGAAAGCTTCACTAATGCGATCAATCTCCTCTCTCCAAGATAGCACCCGGGTCCTCCAGAGTGTCCTTTATCCCAGAGACGTAAGTGGACAGCAGCATCTTGTGCAGAGTGGTAGTTGTTGGGTATTTTTATAATTGTACCTTTTTGAGGCCTAAAAGATGCCCATTTTGTGTTATTAACACTTCATGAATCTCTGTGAGTGCGTTTACATGCAGCCAGTAACCCTTTTAAAACCCGAATATTCACAAAAACCCGGTTCCGCAGGTCCATGTAAACACCGCCAAAAACCCGGATATGCTCATAACCGGGTTTTTAAAAACCCGGTTACTACACCTGGGGTAACCCTTTTCTAACCCGAATGTTTGGTCGTGTAAACGCATATCGGGATACCCCCATCAAAGCGTGTGTTCTGCGCATGCTCTGTTCGCAAGGAATCTTGGTCTTTTGAGTAGCGAGACGTCTTGTATGCGCCAGAACTCTGGAAGTAAACAACAAGTTGGGAGCAACATGGTGAGTCGCGGCACAGCACCGCACTTTTGGAGTGACGAGGAAACTAAAGCGCAAACAAACGCGGTCGCTATCTCTTCCGAACTGGGAAACATGTTGTTGTTTTCACGGATACCGGAACAAGAAGAACCGGAAATGATGCATATTGCGTCTGGACGTAGTCCATACGTCCTGACGCTACCCCAACGTCCGCATTTACATCGGGTTATGCAAGTTAGGGGTAACTCTTTCTATTTATGCTTGTAAACAGGTTATTCTGATCAACTCAGAAACCCGAATACCGACCTTAACCCGATCATAACCCGGATATTGGCTGCATGTCAACGTAGTCCGTGTTTGCCAACTGTGGCTGTTCATGAAAGGTTGAGCAGAGAAGCTCGTTTGCAGTCAAGGATGTTTATTCCAACCAAACCTCTGTACCTCTGGAACCTGAGAAGGCCCCGCCTTCTCCCCCATCCTTTGCTGAACAAAGCCCCTGGGAAACTGAGGAGACTGGGGAGTGACGGGGGAAAAGCCTCAGAGGAGGTTTTTCCCTGCGTTAACTCTCCATTATTTTGGGGACTCAGGGTAAAATGTCATCCTTGTTGTCAAGAGTGTTTATTTCAGGTTCCAGGGTTATGGAGATTAAATATCACTTAACATTTAATTACCTAACATCTTGGTGGAGAATGTGGGCATGCAGAGCTGGTGAGCTGAAGGCTTTCCCCAGGAGCAGGGGGGGGGGCCTGGTTAGCTCCATGGAGGGGTTTCTGCGCCCAGCTCTCGCATGACGATTCATGGACATTACGAATAACCTACTCTCTCTCTGTGTGTGTCGTCCTTTAAGGTAATATGGGATAAATCTAAAATTACCTATCAGTAGTTGTTTGAAAGTCCAAACTCAGCTTCTCTGGGTGTTCTGTCCTTTGGGTAAACCACATTTTTATCAGGTACCAGGTTTGATTTTCTTGATGACTGGCCAGATGTGGTCCAGAGGCCACCAGCTGATCTACATGTACTCAAGTCAGCTGCTGCTGTATAATTCACCTCCTCAAAAGGAGATCCAACAGTAATGTAACTCAAACAATGAGCCTTCTCTGCCTTTAAACATGTCCCCTTATTACAGCTGCCCCGGACCAATCTGATCCTCTGGACTTCACACATCAACTTGTTATGTAACAAACTCGGGAGCTTGAAGACTAACTGGTTTCAGAGAGCAGTGGATCTGCTGTTAGAGCAAGTGAGGCATTAGAGGTGAACACCTGAAATAAGCTGATTATGCAAGCGAGGGACACGATTAACTGTAATCAAGCCAACAGTAATAGTATACAGCTGGAGACGGAGCGAAGGGCATCCACCTGCCTCCGTGCAGACTCAGCTCTGGAATAAATCCTGCCCCATCACAACAGAAAAACAAGAAGCTACTAAATTCCACAAGAGATTCAGGGTTTAAACTAATCACTTGTCTTTTTTGCCCAATTAGGAGAGAATAAAAATGAAAAGTACCCAGTTTGCTGCTGCCCCACCCCCCCAATCCCAATTAAGCCCAACTGACATGAAGCCAGGTGTTTTGCTGGTGATCAGACACTAACCTGTCCGGGGAACGTTGGCCAGCAGCAACATCAACATCTTGTACTCCTGATACTTCTTGCTCTTGACTTCAGTCCTGACACCAACGAGAACAAGAAACCATCAGAGAGGAAAGAACATGTTTGTGCCAAGTGAAAGGAAAGGGTTAGGTCCAGCTGCTGGGTTCAGAATTTCACATACTTCAATTCTACTTAGAGAATTTCACTTCATGTTGGTTTATTATTAACCTTTTCCACTATGGGAGACAGGTCCTTCAAGGCAGTGGCCCCTCAATTTTGGAATTCTCTCCCAGAATTTCTAAGGGCCACACAATCTGTGGAGCTTTTCAAAAAAGGCCTCAAGACCTTTTTGTTTAATAAGGCTTTCTAGTGCACAGTGACCTATTGAGTGTTTTACTTCATTGTGTTGTTTTTACTTATTGTTTGTATCTACTGTCATGACTTTTTAGATGGGTTTTATCTATTTCTGGGTTTTTATTTTCCATACTTGATAGTATCCTGAAATTTTAACTGTTTTTAAATAGCTGTGTCCCTTATACCTGTCCCCTATACTCTGTAGCACTTTGAGATTACTTCTGTAATGTAAAGCGCATTATAAATAAAATGTATTATTATATTATATTATATATTATTATACATTATATTATTATAGGGGTATTATAGGATTATTATTATAGGGGTATAGGATGACAGACTGGACCCTACACCCCACCCCCCACACACACACACACACACGCACACGCACACGCACACATACACACACACACCACACACCACATACACATTATACAAAAAGGAAATAGTGGTTGAACCAATAATGGGGTAAACATTTCTGATTGTAAACAACTACCTCTGCATAGAAATTGCACACACCTGCTGCTATATGTTTTGTATATTATTAGCGATATTTACCTGTTTAATATTATCTTATTGTTAGGGATGTTTTTTGTTTTGTTATTGTTGTGCATCTGCACTTTATGTAAATGTCTACGCATGGGACAGTGTGAAACGTAATTTCAATTCCTTGTATGGCAAGCACATTCGAAGAATTGACAAATAAAGTATTCTATTCTATTCTATTATTTTCAGTAATAAAAAGTTTGATGTCTTCATTTTTCGATCAGCCAGGTCTGCTCGCTTTAAGAGTTTAGCAATGTTTGCAGGAACTAAATCAAGTATGGACGCATTCATTTAGCACCTAAAGAGAACTCTGTTCCAGGAACACACCCTCTCCTCCTACCACCGTCAGTTTGGGAACATTAATGATGACAGAGAGTAAAATACAGGTGCTGGCCAGTAAATTAGAATATCATCAAAAGGTTGAAAATATTTCAGTAATTCCATTCAAAACGTGAAACTTGTACATTATATTCATGCAATGCACACAGACCAATGTATTTCCAATGTTCATTACGTTTAATTTTGATATTTATAGGTGACAACCAATGAAAACATCAAATCTGGTATCTCAGAAAATTAGAATATTCTAAAGGCCAATGAAAAAATGTTTGTTTCTCTAATGTTGGCCAACTGAAAAGAATGAACATGAAAAGAATGTGCATGTATAGCACTCAATACTTAGTCGGGGCTCCTTTTGCCTCAATAACTGCAGTAATGCGGCGTGGCATGGACTCGATCAGTCTGTGGCACTGCTCAGGTGTTATGAGAGCCCAGGTTGCTCTGATAGTCGTCTTCAGCTCCTCTGCATTGTTGGGTCTAGCGTATTGCATCCTCCGCTTCACAATACCCCATAGATTTTCTATGGGGTTAAGGTCAGGCGAGTTTGCTGGCCAATCAAGGACAGGGATACCATGGTCCTTGAACCAGGTGCTGGTGGTTTTGGCACTGTGTGCAGGTGCCAAGTCCTGTTGAAAGGTGAAGTCTGCATCCCCATAAAGTTGGTCAGCAGCAGGAAGCATGAAGTGCTCTAAAACTTCCTGGTAGACGGCTGCATTGACCCTGGACCTCAGGAAACAGAGTGGGCCAACACCGGCAGATGACATGGCACCCCACACCATCACTGACGGTGGAAACTTTACACTGGACCTCATGCAACGTGGATTCTGTGCTTCTCCGCTCTTCCTCCAGACTCTGGGTCCTTGATTTCCAAAGGAAATGCAGAACTTGCTTTCATCAGAAAACATAACTTTGGACCACTCAGCATCAGTCCAGTCCTTTTTGTCCTTGGCCCAGGCGAGACGCTTCTTGCGCTGTTTCTTGTTCAAGAGTGGCTTGACACACGGAATGCGACACCTGAATCCCATGTCTTTCATGAGTCTCCTCGTGGTGGTTCTTGAAGCGCTGACTCCAGCTGCAGTCCACTCTTTGTGGATCTCCCCCACATTTTTGAATGGGTTTGTCGTCACAATTCTCTGCAGGGTGCGGTTATCCCTAGAGCTTGTACACTTTTTTCTACCACATTTTTTCCATCCCTTCGCCTGTCTGTTAATGTGCTTGGACACAGAGCTCTGCGAACAGCCAGCTTCTTTAGCAATCACCTTTTGTGTCTTGCCCTCCTTGTGCAAGGTGTCAATGATTGTCTTTTGGACAGCTGTTAAGTCAGAAGTCTTCCCCATGATTGTGGTGCCTTCAAAACAAGACTGAGGGACCTTTTAAAGGCCTTTGCAGGTGTTTTGAGTAAATCAGCTGATTAGAGTGGCAGCAGGTGTCTTCTATATTCAGCCTTTTCAGAATATTCTAATTTTTTGAGATACCAAATTTGGAGTTTTCATTAGTTGTCACTTATGAATATCAAATTTAAATGTAATGAACATTGGAAATACATTGGTCTGTGTGCATTGCATGAATATAATGTACAAGTTTCACGTTTTGAATGGAATTACTGAAATATTTTCAACCTTTTGATGATATTCTAATTTACTGGCCAGCACCCGTAGGTTGCTGTAGGGTAATGGCTGAAGAGAAGGCCCCCAATTATCCCAAAGAGACAAAACACAGGCAGACCATGACTGCGGCCCACCCTGAGGCCAGTGGGACAGACACGAGGAGTGAAAATGATACACACAGCTGGAGGGAAATCTCTTACATACAGGGTATCTGCAGGTTTAAGGGAGCCAAATTTAAGACTTTTTAAGACCTTTTTTAAGGCCACTTAGACCAAATTTAAGCTATTTTTTTTACATTAAATTTAAGCTATAATTTCCAGCTATTGCCTGGAACCGGTGCTAACCACGTGGCGAACGTGGGATTAACCATCCAGTTACCATTAAACTTGCACTTCCCCATGGCGCAAGCTCCCACTAGCTTAACCAGCTAATGTGCTCATCTAAAAGTAGCCCCCTTTCACAACAAACTGAATGTGTACGGTTCCGCTTACGCCAACATCGTACACAAAAAATGCTGAACACCAACTAGAAATTCACAAAAATTTTATAGAAATAAGAGTTGTTTATTGGGTCTTTGGTAATTTAAAACCTTTGGAAACTGTATTTAAGGATTATTTGTCAATTTTAGGGATTTTTAAGGCCTTAAATTTGGAAAAGCAAATTTAAGACTTTTTAAGGACCTGCAGATACCCTGTACATAGGCTCACATTGTGTTGTTGGTTGTTAAGTACTGAATCCACATGTGTCTTACAGCGCTGTCTGTAGTCCAAAAGATCATAAATAAAAGAATAAAAAGGAGAGAAACTATATTTTATATTGTCTCTGGGTGCTGTCTGTAGTTGTGAGTGAGTGTATGATTGGTTGTTTGTCTCGGTGTGTCTCTGTGATGGACTGGAGACCCATCCATGGTGTCCCCCACCTCCCACTCGGTGACTCCAGGATTTAGGCTCCGGATCCTTGTGACCCCACTAAGGATGCAGGTATTGAAAAGATGGATGGATGCTAGATGAAACTTCATCTTGTTACCTTACAACTGTTTTTCTCATTTAATCTGAGTATCCTCTGTGTGTGTCCTTGTACACTCACGGGGGTTCTGCGCAGTATTTATGCAGCAGGAATTTGGACAGCATCTGCAGAATCGGCTGGCTGTGGAGGGCCACAAACTGTTCCCGGCAGACCTGACAGGAGGAGGGCGAGAAGTTCATCAGCAGCTGAACAACAAGCAGCCGAGAGCAGCTGACCAGGTGAGAGATGGGTGGAAGTAAAAAGGAAGAGAATGAAAGTGATAGCAAAATATCTCAACTTTGAACAGTTCGGCCAGCTATAAATCTTCTGCTAGATGCTCTCTGTTGACACCTGGGACCAACAAGTGATTCAGCTGATCATCTAGCATCACTTCTGTCACTTACACACTAGCATCGGCTCCACTGCGATGGCAGCAGTGTGTGTGTGTGTGTGTGAGAGACTCTTCACAGCAGTGAGGGACAGAGAAAAACAGCTTCAGCCAGACGCTTGTTAACTCCACAGTATCTAGAATGATAATGAATTGCGCATGCGGGAAGACCCCGCTGGCTGAACCACTGATCTAGTTTCTGTCCGACTTAAAGTCCTAGGACTGCTTGGAGAAACATACACTAACTGGCCAATTTATTGGGTACACCTGTCCAACTGCTCGTTAAGACAAATTACTAATCAGTCGATCACATGGTGTCAAGTCAATGCATCTAGGTATGTTGACAAGGTCAGAACGATCCGCTGCTGTTCAAATGGGGAAGAAAGGTTTTTAGTGACTTTGAACGTAGCATGGTTGTTGGTGCCAGATGGGCTGGTCTGAGTATTTCTGAAACTGTTGATCTTCTGGGGTTGTCACGCACAACCATCTTTAGGGTTTACAGAGAATGGTCTGCCCACCTGGGGAAGGCGGGCAGTGAGCAGCAGTTCTGTGGGTGAAAATGCCTTGTTGATGCCAGAGGTCAGAGGAGAATGGCCGGACTGGTTTGAGCTGACAGACAGGCAACAGTAACTCAAATAACCACTTGTTACAACCACGCTATGCAGAAGAGCATCTCTGAACACACAACACGTTGAACCTTGAGGCAGATGGGCTACAGCAGCGGAAGACCACACTATCAGCTCAGAACAGAAAGCTGAGGCTAAAATTCACGCAGGCTCACCAAAGCTGGACAATAAAAGCCTGGAAAAATGTTTCCTGGTCTGATGAGTCTCGAGTTCTGCTGCGACAGTCAGATGGTTGGGTCAGAATTCGGCGTCAACAACATGAAAGCATGGCTCCATCCTGCCTTGCATCAACGGTTCAGGCTGGTGGTGGTGGTGTAATGGTGTGGGGACATTTTCTTGGCACACCTTGGGTCTCTAAGTACTAAGTGATCGTTGTTGCAACGCCATAGCCTGCCTGAGTATTGTTGCTGACCATGTCCATCCCTTTAAGACCACCGGGTACCCATCTTCTGATGGCTACTACCAGCAGGATAATGCACCATGTCATAAAGCTCCAATCATCTCAGTCTTGAACATGACAATGAGTTCACTGTACTCAGATGGCCTCCATAGTCACCAGATCTCAGCCCAACAGAGCACCTTTGGGATGTGGAACGGGAGATTCGCATCATGGATGTGCAGCCGACAAATCTGCAGCAACTGTGTGATGCTGTCAGGTCAATCTGGACCAAAACCTCTGAGGAATGTTTCCAGTACCTTGCTGAATCTGTACCACGAATGATTAAGGCAGTTCTGAAGGCAAAAGGGAGTCCAACCCAGTACTAGCAAGGTGTACCCAGTAAAGTGGCCAGTGAATGTATTTTGTCTGACGTTTTGACCAGTGTTTTAGACAAACAAAAGGTTTCTTTTGAGGAAACATTTCACTCAGCCTCTGTAAAACCTTTAAGGTTTCAGCTATTTTTGTGTTTCCTAACATCAGCTGGCCATGGCAACCATCTTAAAATGGGACTCCAAAAAGCGAATTAGTTGTAACTGTATGCAAACAGATTACTTTCTGAAAGTTTCGTTGCAACCTGCCCTCTGGCTGGACTGCAATGAAACACAACCATATGATTTTGGAAACAACACAGGGTTGACTTAATGACTCAATTAAAGACAAAGATCCCATCAAATCTGTTGGCATTCAGACAGAGAAGATGTTGGGAGCAAATCTCAGCACCAACCACACACTGTCTGTAAAACTGCAGTACTGTAGCCATGTTTGTGTTCGCTATTGCCAATTACTGTGGCCGTGGGAGTTATTGGAGGATAATGAACCTAAATATTAGCATTTTGAAAATTTTTTCTTTAAAAAAGCACAACTGATGTCTTAAGGCAGACAGCTGCAACAGATGACTTCATTTACATATCATACTAGGTAAAATATTTCTTTCCAGCTATTGATCCCAAAATATAAACAAATACTTCAGACTTTTTTTTTATCATGCTAGAAGCTCTAGTATTTTCTAGTAAATGGTTGTGACAATGCATAAAACCTTAGCATCATACATCCTGCAGAATGAAAACAGCGCGAGCCATCTTCTGACAGAACAAACTCACCCAACATCCAATTAAAATCCACAGCTGGGGCCACATCTGAGGAGCCAATATGGAGTTCTCAGTCTAAATCTTCTATGCATTACTTGGATGATGTATGCAGATAAGTCATTTTCCTCATAAATTCTCAATTATTCTGCTTTGCTTTTGCATCTCGCAGTAAATCCTCTTCTGGACTGCACCCGGGACAGGCTGCCGGTGCAGAAAATGGGCAGAAAAAATATGGAGGACAGATTGGCTGTCATTTAGAACAACTAAAAAAAAAAGAAGAAGGCTCCCTTTTTTTTCACGTTGACTAAGGCCTAGTCCACATGTAGCCGGATTAAAAAAAAACGAATATCCACCCCTCCAAAAACTTGCATCCACACCACCTCGTTTAAAAAAAAAATAAACTCTGTCCACACGTACCCGGATAAATACGTTGTTAAGGACATGCCAGACCTGTAGGCGGCAGTACTTCCCCTGTTCTTAACCTCGTCCTTCGTCTGTGGTCTTCCGCAAGGAGCAGTAATTCCGCTTGCAAAAACAAACAAGCAAAAAGCGCTTGAACAATTGATGGATCGGGTAGTGAAAGAGCGCAGCTCTGAGGGCATCCATGCTGTCGGCTAGTGTAAACACAGGTCGCACACGTGATGTCAGCATTGTTTTTGTCGCGGAAAGTGACGTTGCGGACCTTAAAACTCCGGTTTTGTCTGTCCACACGCAGACACCCAAAACGGAGAAAACGCAGATCTTCACTTTGGCCGGAGTTTTTAAAAAGATCCGTTTTCGTGTGAAAAAACTCTGTTTTCGTGTGGATGACAGGCCAAAACGTAGAAAAATATCTACGTTTTGGCAGATCCCCGGCTACGTGTGGACAGGGCCTAAGATATCTGACATCTCTCTCTCTCCACTGCTGTGTTCAATTACCTGTGTAATGAGGTAGGCACCCCCCCCCTCACTTCAAGGTGGAGAACACAGAAAAGAATAAATGCAGTGAGAGGAAGCTACTTCGCTGGTTATAACTCCTGTGAGATTGAGCAAAGACATAAAACTGTGAGAGTGCTCTGGAGGTGCATCCGCAGAAAATTGGGACTTTGCCGTAATTTGATTCATTTTATTCTGCGCCACATCTCAGTCTGAGCAGGACGGTCTACTTTCGACATGCAGAGGCAGACAATCATTTATTCAACACAACGGGTCCTGTCGGCTACCTGCAGCCTGAAAATGCATGAGGCAGGGACGATGGAAGTGTGTATTAGGGGCATCACTTAGCAGGAGCTTCTATTACAACAGAAGCGCTAGTCATAGATACGGCACAAATTGATTTGATCTCCTGCATCCTCTGTGCAATCACTAAAACAAGCTCAGCATCTCAGCACTTTGAAAACCACAAATCATTCTTACCATGAGGAGAAAATACAAACTTTACACCCAGATGAGAGCTGAATCTACTAGATCACATCTTTAATGTTTAGAAATCATAAAAAAGAGAGGAAAATACAATCCTGACAATTCATGTTCAGATTGAAGGGAACGGCTGTGAAAGGATGATAGGGCTGAGGAATGATGGGAGAAGAGAGAGATCGCTGTAATCGAATACCTTGTTCATGGTGTCCACGGTGAGGGCATGGGTCCAAAAGCAGTCGTGAACCGAGACGAATGTCAGGCCGGCACTGAGGGAGGACGGGACAAAGAGGATGAGGATTCATGTAGGAAACCAAAAGGATTTTAAAATAATCAGGCTTCAAAGGGAGGCAGTGACGGCTCTGACTCAAGGGCTTCAATGTCCCTGTGAGGTCCAATTTGAATGATCACACCTGTCAAAAATATACAATAGATCTAATAATAAGTCTAAGGTGGCAAGAACATTTAGACCAGGGGTAAAAATTCACACAGCTGGTTGACAAACACTCATCATGTGTGAACGCACCTGTAGCAGTGGAGCGAAGTCAGCATCATGTGTGTGGAGTCCAAAGAGTGGATGAAGTTAGGCGGGAACGCGTTCTTCTGCTTAACGGTGTCAGGCATCCTTTAAAGGTACAGAAGACCAAACACAGGCTTTTATAATCCAAAGATAGTTCGTAATCTTACAGTAAAGTTTACATGTTTGGTAAATACTGCCTTTGGTTTCAGTCAGTTCTGTCTAAAATTAAACATTGCTACTTCTTTATGTCAGCTTGTTGGTTAGTCTGGAATGGCTTTTCTCCCTAAAAGAACTGTTGAATGGAGTATAATCAGACTTTTTAATGTATGGAATTAAGTCTCTCATTATGTGAAATCAATTCAAGGCTTCCCAAGGTGTATCCGTGTGTGTGTGTGTGTTCCTACAGCCTTGTCTCTTATCACCCCTGAAGTCGTAAATTGCTAGTTGCCTTCACCGAGCTGTTTCGGTCTCACGGTCCTGTGGTAACCTTTTTGACCTCCAGAGAAGTGGAGGAGGCAAGGAAGAGGCTCACTCTGGAGAAAGTCCAGGTGCATCAGCTAATGGTTTATCCAAACAAGACATATCGATAAAACTGCTCCCCCTGACAAGCAAGAAGGAGGGGCAACGTTGGGCTAATGTCGACAGCATGCAGAGAAGAGGAAAGCCTGCAGGAGGCGCTGAGAAGAAGAAACAAGTGAACAGATGAAGACTGGGAGAAGAAAAGGTGACATCGTGACATCCAAAATTTATGGTCTCTTCGGGGCCGTTGGAGAAGTGGCAAGAAGAAGAGGAACACGTGACCAGGAAGTCTGAAGTCTGAAGCAGCAAACAAAGAAATGACTGTGAGGGAGGGGGGGGCAGAGTAAATAAAAAGGAGCTACTGGGTCTGGAGGGATGGAGTTTGTGAGGTAGAGAGATGGAAAGAAGGAAGCTTTTGCTTTGAGCTTTTTGTCTGTGATAATCTGACCTAGTGTCATTTTTGGAGAGCTTATTCAGCTCAACTTTGCTATAACTCGGTTTATTGGCAAAGAGTGGTTTCACTTTTTAACCCGCTTTGTCGGGGGTTTGTTTGGATTATTACTCTTTTTTCATCTGTGTGAAATAAAACCTAGTTCTTCGGATTCGAGGAACGAAAAAAGGATTTACGAGTGGGGTCCCCTGTCGGTAACCAAGCAAAGGTGAGATGCTGGTTGTAAATGCCATCCCAAGGTGTTATTGATGTAAGTGGTTTCCTCCATCCTAGGCTACAGGTAAAGTCAGTTGTCTGCTCGACATAAAAGGAACAGCTGGCAAGGGTCTTAACCTGAAGTGTACATAAGCTTCATGGACTGGGGGTGTGTGTAGGTGTGTTTGCGCCTCCTTTGTTGGGTCAGAATTAGAAGCCCTGGGTAATGTGGTGATTGCTAATCAACTCTCTACAGAGTAAGGATGTTTGTTGGTAACTAGATGCCAAGCTCACTAAAATGATTACAAGCCAAACTCTGAGATATTAGTAAAATCTTGAAGAGTGGAGCTAGCCCGGTAAATTGGCTTGTACCAAGAACCTGGAAAATAAATAAATGTAAAATAAAGAGTAAGTACAGAAATGAATAAATAAACGTTTATTTAACTCCAAACTGTGACAACTCCTCCGTGTTTTAAAATCAGTATTTTTGTTTATTTTTAGTATTCTTTGTATACAAACTGATGAACTGTGTTCCTAAATGTCCAGAGTTTGACCTAAATGTTAAAAGTCTTTGCATACATCGGTCTGAGCTTCCTGTGTTTTCCTTTTTAAAGTGGCGCCTCTTCCTGACATTTTCTCGTGGGGTTCAGCAGGTTTCAGAAAGTTGCTGATGGTATACCTGCAGAAAACCAGCAGCCTGCTTCAGGTCCGCCTGAAGCATCTTAGATATTTTACATTTTCTCTTCTCCAAAATTTGCATCAACCTTGAGAAACTTTGTTCACCGTTTTTATTCGGAACTCTCATCACGGGGGTATCTTCGCGTGTTTATTGTGAAACTTCTTACATTACACAATTAGTTAAAACCGAAACCAGAAGACGTTTAATGGAGGATTTAAAGCCTTTGAAGTTATTCTGATTATGAAACAATATTGCAAAGTGGTTTCGTTAACGGTCGACTGAATTTCAGATCCTTTTCTTTGTGAAGACAAGAAAGGTCATCAGGTTATTGGTGCAGGAAATCATTAACTGACTGTATTTTTTGTTTCTTTATTTAAACTTAAGAGTTTCGAAGAACTGCATCTTAAAGATTTTTTGCTTGCATCGTTTTTGTTTTGTTTTTCAAACATTCAGTGTATCCAGAATTGGTTCACTTATGTTTACTTCTACACATATTAAATATTCTGCACTTACAGTTCATGGATGATGGGATTCCCTACCAGCACTGTTTATAAAATTGTAGTATTCCTCCTTCTGGTGGATGGATCCGACAGTGAAAACATAAAAAAAAGAGACAGCACCCTGCCAATCTATATCCCCCATGTTCCCATTAACCTGAGCCTGGGCCATTCAAATCCTCTGGGTCACCACAGACCAGAACGTTCCTCTAATGGAAATGCAAAGAGAGCAGAATGAGCTGGAGCCAAGACATGAGCACAGGCATACAGCCCCTCTGCCTGTCACTCTTGTTTTCCATCTGTAGGTTTTATTCTCGGCCTGGGAATGTTGGACTTCCATCGGTGGGCTTTTAGTTGGCCTGTTCTGGGACTGAGCTGAGCAAAAACACGATTCCAGTATATTCATTTATAAACGCACTCTGTTATGAGCACACGAGACCCCCCTTCTGCTTTTACTCACACATGTAACCATTACATACAGTAGACCTGAGAAGGGAGGGTGTAGTGTCAGTACTCTAGTGTAAATGCTCTTCCTACAGAGAAAACAAATGGGTTTGAGGCTTAACATTCAATGCATTATTTAAAGGCCTGCTCTAAAGATAAAAGGGAACAAGAAAGAGACATGGAAAACAAAAATTAGGCCTTAAAGGCCATCATTAATCTCAGTCTATCTGAAATTTTAAAGTAATGAAAAAATACCCTCCAAATAAAGGAAAATACAAACAGAAAGCAGAACTATTCAGAAAGACTTGCAATGAGAAAACAAGAGATCAGCATATGCTGTGGCTACCTTAACAATTTGTGTCTATCTTAGCAGAAGAGCCCCAGCTATCTATCTGAAGTCATGCATATTGTTTGTGAAAACAGCAATGATTTGGTAACAAACTGCTGATGAACCCACCGTTTTTAAAAGTGAAATCAATTAAAAATGCGACTGAAGTGAACCAGAAATGTGTTTTTGTTAGATTCATGATTTCATTTCATGTATTCATGAATTTAAAGAAGCAGTAGACCTGCTGCTCAGCTGACAGTGTGACGTTCGTACTGTGTGTGTTTTGTATTTAACTAACATCTGACCAATCAGAACGCATTTCTCCTGCCAGGCCTGCAGAGCCAAAGCAAACACAAAGGAACTCACAGTGGAGACAAGGATTTATGGAGCCAATATGAAAAAGTGAATTTTACTACTACAGTGGGAGGTGTCATAACCTGGGAAAATTCAACTATGATCCTGTCTAAAAGATGGATCATTATTATCCACCCATAACTGTCCACTACAGATGAGGGCCTTGTAATATCACAGACACCTCAGGACATTGTTTTCATTTGTCAGGATGTACCTCATTTAGGTACTCAAAGGCTCCTTGTGAGCTCGAATAACAGTAACATTTTGCTCTCTAACATTTATGTGTTTTGGAGAGCAGATGTAAAGGTAAAAAAAAAAAACGATGACTGTGAAGTCTACCTTTAGACGACCAGCCTGTGGTGCTTTCACTGACGGCCCTCGGTCAGCTTCAGATCGGTGGCGCACAGAACATGTCAGACTGAAGAGGACACCTGTCAGTCTGTCTTGGTTATGTCTCCAGAGCTAGTTCTCTGTCATCATTTACTTTTCCTTGCTGTTTGTCTTCTGTGGTTCTGAACTCACCTCTATAACTTGTCTCACTTCCTGTCTTTCAAAACTTTTTTATTGGAGTTCACATCTAAAACAATCATTTAGCAGATATTTAACCTAAAATATGGTTAGTTTAGCTTTATTTAAAGGCTTTGTGCAGTAGCTCAGGAGGCAGAGAATTTGTTGTGTCCTTGGGCAAGACACTTAACCCGCCTTGCCTCCTGGTGGTGGTTGAAGGGACAGATGGCTCCTGTGTTTGGCAGGGTTAGGTTAACCCTTTTACTTTTTATTTAACTAGCAGCTCTAGCCCAGCAGGAGATTGAAGCACTACCGAGTTAGCAACCTAGACCATTCTTTGAGATTTATTCGTGCATTTTTAGGTGTCTATCTGAATTATGAGGATTTAACACTACATCACAGGTTCACCAAGAATAGGCTGCTGTTGTGTTTTTCTGATTGGAGGGTGATGGAGCTGTAATCATCCTGCAGCAAATCATTTGGATTATGCTCATCAACCTCTGGATGTGAACATCTGTTGTAATGTTTTATACAAACTCCTGCATATAAAACGGAGTGCTACCACTTTGACTATTTTTTTTGTAGGTTTAACAATATCTGTCACTGATCACTGAAACAGAAGACGATTTAGATTTTACCTGAAATAACTGCCCTTTTCTTTTTTTTAAAAATGAAAATAAGAATGAAGCAGACAGCTTCTTTTCTGAGATGCTAATACTACCAGTTGTGTGGATCATAACGATTTCACAACGAATGCACGTAGGAAGTGGGTCTTTTAAAAATCGTACATGTTTTATAATAAACATGCCGGTTTTTCGCTAAATGCATGGGAAGTATCTAATTAAAATTTGAATAGAATACACCAATGTGGAGAGAAGCCGTTTGGTTGATGAAATCCAAGAGGTGCAAAACTCCATTTGCAAAGGCTTTTTTAATGAAAAGAAGGAGCAAAAAACAAAATGATACCTGCAAAAACCACACAACCATTTCATGAATTTCAAGGGTGTGCATTGTCAAGGATCTGGCGATACAAACTACAGTACAGGTCAAAGGGATGGACACACCATCTCATTCATTGAGTTGGTGCGTTATGAGTGAAATAACTGAAGACATGTTTTGTATTTTATGTTCTATTTTCTTCAAAAAAGCCACCCTTTGCTCTGATTACTGCTTTGCACACTCTTGGTATTCTCTTGATGAGCTTCAAGAGGTGGTCCTTCAAGACTGTTGAAAACCATTTCAGTAGACTACCTCTTTTGGTTAAGTACATAACTCCACATGTGTTCATTCATAGTTTTGATGCCTTCAGTGAGAATCTCCCAATGTAAATGGTCATAAAAACAAGACAACACATGAACTCCAGTCTGAATAGATGAGAAGGTGAGTCCAAACCTTTGGCCTGTACTGCATGTTACAATACAGGATAGATGATACGATGTATTGTGATACTAAAAGCCAGATGATATGTGAAAATTTCAAGACTGAACTTAATTGGAAAACTCCCAAAACATCCGGCCTCATCATGAGATCTTGTTCTGTCAGAATTAAGGCGGTAAAATCCACATCCACCTAGCAGTCGGGAGTTTGAGTTGTAACATACAGAAGAAAAACAGTAAATGTTTGTGCAAAATTCTCAATAAAAATGTATACACTGCTTTTAAATATTGATTCATTACCATGAAACAAATGATCACAAATCATCCCAATGTTGATCTAGTTTGATGCCGTCTCCTATGCAAAACGAGCTTCCAATCATCAACACTTGAGCAAATATGGTCATTTCTGCTTTACTGACACAATTTATGGTTTAATTTGGTTGTCTATTTATATATAAACTACAAAAATTTTTATTATGTAATATCCCTCCTGAGGTTTCACAAAAATGTCTTAGGTTTATTTAAGAACTGGTTACCATCAGCCAAGTCTCTTTGCTCTTAACACAAACTATTTGCTTTTAATGCTCAGCTTTAATCAGACTCCTGATGGCCATGCTGACTTCATGATAAAAGCAAAGTTTCTTCAGAGTGTGAAAAAGGCAATTAGTGAATACATCCTCTAGAGAAAGGAGCTGAAGTTTTTCTAAGTGTAAGGTAATTACCTCAAAAGAGCACAAAAAAATCCTACATTTGTGAAACTTGTGACAAGCTGAACACAAAACCAATTAAAGTAAAAATAATGTGCAGAAGAAGCCATTTATATAAGAGTCCTCCGAGCTTGTTCCAGATCACCAAGATCAAGCTTAGTGGTGAGATTTCTGCTAAAAATGTCAGTAAACACCACAGAAGAAGAGAAAGAACATATGGACCACATCTATTTGAGCAGTATTGGTGACAGAAAGACTTACTCTGTGGTGTCATGGGTGATTTCGAGGTATATGTTTTGTATGGTGCTCTTCAGCTGGAGAAACAAAACAGAAACAAACAAACTGTTCAGTCAGTAACCTCAGAAATGTTGGGTTTATTTTCAATTTGCTGGTTCAAATGACAAATCAATACAAAGTAGTCCTTACTGGTCACCTACAAAGATGCAATAAAGCTGTTCTGGCAGCTAATGGGCCATTCCCATCTGTACCGGGTCGGCCTGGGCCGGGTAGCGTAGGTTGTTTACATATCTGGGTGGCCTGGTATTTTTCCGGGCCAACCGAGGCTCATTCTCAGCCCTCTTCTCGAGGGGGTCTGCTTCAGGCCGACCAGGACCAACACACCCACTGCTGACAGCAAATTCACACCTTCCATTAGAGCAAGCCTCTGATTGGTGGTAGAATCAGCCCACATGGGCTTAAGACAAGGATGTGTGGAATCAACCGGGCCAGGCTGGGGCCGACTGGGGCTACCCGGCCCGGGCTGACCCGGTACAGATGGGAATGGCCCATAAATAACTTTATTAAGACTCGACTTTGTTTGCATCTGCTTTAACATTAACTGCTGCAAATACTTTAGTGGTGCAGCTTAAGAGCATGACAGTGTTCCTGACATCAAAGTCATGTACAACTATGCTGATGATTTTGCAAATAAAGTACAGCTAGATGACCAAAAAAGCTCATACGTGCAGAAAAAGATCATACCAAAACTGCATCTTATCATTGTTATTATTCAAAGAGAAATTCCAAACAATTTCCCTCCATGTCAGGTGTCATAAACTCTACTACAGAGCTAAAAAAAAAAACAAGATTAAAATGAAAGAAAAGATGTTTAGAAGTTTTTGTTGTAGGAAGTGATGCAATTTGAGCAAGTGTAGGGAAATTCTTCTGAAAGGAACTTTTTAGACAATTTCAGCCGCATCAGTGAAGCAACATTTACAGACTGAAGTACATCATAGGGACAAACGTATGGATATCATTACATCATGTGTTCTTTTAAAAATGATTGTTGGTCTGACTGAAAAAAATTAACAGCTCATTTAAACACTTTTGAAACAAGGACAGCAGAAAGTGGAAGACAGTTTACCAATTGACCTTTGTTTCAAACAATCAACAGAAAATTGAAAACGAAATACTCTGAAGTCAGCTTTATTTAAGCTGTGCTGCTCTAATTTTTTCAGAGAAGCATTTCTTTATTTGTGAACCTGAAGAGTCGGTTGCCACAGCGGTACATAAACATGTGGAGCATGCTGGCATTTCCCATACCTCTGGATCCACGAAGGACAGACTAGAGCACAGCACAGAGATAAGGCCTCTGACAGACAACATACCCTCCCATCAGGAATAGTCCATGACTGTGTTGAGTTTGCATAAGTCCCAAAGGACCCAAACGTCTCTGCGAGTCTGCCAGAACACCGTTTCCCTTTCAAACGATGAAGAGCTTTGATGCTGAAATATCTACCTGGACTTCATTCAGAAGGCTGTAAACAAATTTATCGGCACTGTAAATAATCAGTTTGCTTTTAGACATCCTTATTGCAGTTTAGACGTAAATTACCCAGAATAACACGAACGAGCAGAAGACGTGTTTGTTTGTTTGTTTGTTCTCAGTGATTAATGACGACAAATTTGCATTCATTTCCTTGATTTTGGGGTCAAGTACAAGAAACTGCATGACAAACAGCCAAATGATGATAATGAATCCGTGTTAGGCAGTGTGACTGATCTGTGGCGAGTCTCTGTGCCCCTTTCTCAAGGGAAGGGACCGTCTACAGGAAAATAAATGGGTTATTTACAGGGAGTTGTTTAGATTTTTTTCCAAAAGGATCCTGCTACGCTTTATCTTCTATCATGCTAAGTGTTTTCTAGAAAAGGGAGTGTCAAGAACAAAGACCACAAGTTTAGTGCAGGCACACAGCTCTTAGCTACCGGTAATCGTGTTTGCTTCTCTGTGGGATGAACACCAACATCCCATCTTTTGGATTCATTCTGATTTTCTAGTAAGCAAAAACTAAACAACGAGTAAGCTCACTGAGGTGCAGTAAAACCTCACACACTCGGGATACGGCCTTCAACATATTTCAGTGACTCTAGGTATGGATTTTAATAAAGCCAGAATTGACAAAAAGGTAAAAACTGGGTCATCAATACTTCTTATAATGATATTAGATGATGTCTTGTAAATGAAATGATGGTCCAAAATCATTCAGACGGTCTCTGAAACTTTGAGATATGAAATCCTGATTAGTCTAAACTGAATGGGCGGGTTATGAATGTGAAACATCAGCTTTAGTTTTCTAATGACAACTCTGTTCATTACCGTACGAAGTCAAATCTTCGTGATATAACTAGATGGTTTTATGAAAAACAGAAAACCATCATTGTTGCAGCCATACTCTGATGGTTAAGAGACTTTTCAGATATTTTCCAAGGTTTTTACAGCTAGATTGGTTAAATTATGATAATAAACACAAAATCACAACATTTTTAAGTGGTTTTAAACAAGATTACACAAACAAAAGACCTTAAACACCTCACAAACTCGTGGACAATTTAAGTTTAGCCAGGGTCAGTAAAGTTCAATCAGAGACTAAATGTTTAATTCACTTTAGTCAATTTTTGATCAATTCATTTCTACACTATTACTCACTTGCAAGTTTAGTAAATCATGTAATTGAAATGTAAAAAAAATAAAATTAAAAAAAAAAAAACACCTGAAAAGTCAGACTGAAATGCCAATCTTTTATCTGATTTTTACTTTCCGTTGCCAAGCCAAACAGTTTTTTAGTGAACAGCAAAATATGCTGGCATTGTCGCTTCATTACTTTTGGACAGAATTGTAAGATGGTCTTGCCTTTTCTTTTCAACTTTAAACCTTTTAAATTAAAACTTTAAGTGAAAGATTTCTCACTTATAAAAAGCTACCAAACTGCAATGGAAAAACAACAGGTGTTAAGTTCTCTTTTCCAAGATTATTTGCAATTGTTTAATTTTTTTCCAGTTCCAGTTATAATGAATACATGCAGACACTGAGCTTTGCAGGACACACACCCAGACTGCTCTTTAGCATGCACAAACCTCACGTTTGACTCAACTGTTTTCCTTCTCTGCACTGGTTACCCGTCAACTTCAGAGTTCATTTTAGAATCCTGACTAGAACTTTCAGGGCTCTACATCAAGCTCCTCCCTATATTACTGAACTGTTAAAGCCTTATTCTCCAACCCAAGCCCTCAGAACCACTCACCAGAACCTTCTAGAAGTTCCAAAGACCAGATATAAAAGTCAAGGTGATCTCTCCTTCCCGACTTTGGAGTGATCTTCCTTTATCCTTACGTAGCATTGACAGTCTGGACACCTTTAAAAAACAGCTAAAGACCCTTTTCTTTAAAGCTGCTTTTACCTAAATCTTTTTTCTTATTTTTAACTCAGATTAGTAATCTTTCAAAGGTTTATGAAATTGTATAATTTTACGACTTTATTTTTTCTGATGTAAATATATTTTTGTTTTGAGATCATTATAATTTTATGAATTAGTTTTATTTTGTTTTGATCTATGTGAAATACTGTGTGATTCTATGTCTGTGATAAGTGCTATATAAATAAAATGTCCTTAATACTACTTACTGTTTTGAAACAAAAATCTGTTGCACACGCATGCACACACACACACACACACACACACACACACACACACACACACACACACACACACACACACACACACACACACACACACACACACACACGCACGCACACACACGCATGCACGCACACACACGCACACACACGCACACACACCCACACGTCGGAAACTCAATCATCATCTCTAGGCAGATAAAAGGTCTGTAGTGGATTCCAAGTGCACCTTCTGTATTTAGCAGCTGTTACTAAAGACAAATGAAACATGTCATGTCTGATCTCATTTCACATTTGTCTACATTTTTAAGTTCTACCCTCGACTCTGCTCCTTACATCTTAGTTCCCACCAGAGTTGTGAGCGGACAAGTTGAAGACAGGAACAAGGACATTCAGAGACACGGCAGAACGCTAACCGAATGGATCGCTGTAGTTTCGGAGATGCCATTTTAAACCTGTGTCCAACAATACAAGGCATCATCCAACCATTACTTTTACTTCTGAAAGATCATCAATAAAGATATTTGTGACAGTTTATTTATGAACACAATTTGAGAATAACATGTCAGTATCCCATCAGGCATCACAGATGCACGGGTGCATCTTTGCCACCAACTAGCCTCATTAAAGGCCATATTGGAGTTGAGTAAATCATTTGATCCCGAAACGATAAAGTCTGATCCAGAAGAGAAAGCGAACATCAGAAGTCTCTACATAAACAAACAACATGACAGTTCAGACTGAAGCACTGACCCATCAACCTTTGAGCAATTAAAAACGTATGAAAGTGAAAGTAGCTCGACTGTGTCAACAGTTCAACACAAGAGTGGCAAAGCACGTGCTTTGTGGCATCATTACAGCGTTATCCGCCTCTGACTTTCTAAATTCTAAATCAAACCTTTTTAAATATTTTAAACTCATTTTCAGTAAACAAAGGAATGTGAAAGCTGCCACACGACTCAACAACACATTAATTCTAGCCTCAGGGGGTCATCAAGCTCCTCTCCTTGGTGACTCCACTTGATTGCATGAAGGTGGCTGTGTGTTGAATGACGGAGTCACACAATCATCAATGAAAGCTCTGATAAAACCCCATTTATTTTCTGCTATTGCTCTCTCGACCATCATGCCTGCAGGTGACGGTAATCCAGCCAATCTGCTTCCTAACATCCGCTCTCCAGATGAACATGTCTAGGAGAAGGTAGAGGAGAAGCTGGTGCTTAAACTGAGGTAGGGGTGAAAAGAAAGTGGTTTCTTCCTCTGATGTGAGTTATGAGCTGCCAGGCAGTAAATGAGGTCACTGCTGAACACCATCATTATAATGTAAAATCTGTGTAGAGACCTGATTGAAACCCTGTGGCTGTGATAGATGGGACCTTGAATTGCCCCGCTGTGGGAAAT